GATTTTCGCCGTTCAATCACGACCTCTCATGATGGGTTTTCCGTTTTCGCACTCACCAGCACTCTCATGATGAATGTTGTTTTCTCTTGTCTCTCTTGGTACAGAAAAATCAAGCTTGCTATGGCATCGATGTGGGCAGTTGAACAACTCAGTGTGCAAGGACGTCCGAAACAAAGAGTATCTACGAACTGTGTGACGGCCACCATTTTCCAGCCCTCTTTAACAGCCCAATGTTTGGGCATTCCGTATCTGCCCCTTGAGGTTGCCATTAAGGGCCAGCCACCACTTCCTGAATGTTATGCCCACGCGACAGATTCCGCTTGATTCCGGCGATCCACATCCAGGTCATATAGTTGGGGGCACTTGAATTGAGCATTGAGGCAGCTCGCAAGCCCCGTCAGCTGTGCGCAGTCGATTTTACCAATTTCGCCCATCGACGAAACCCCTCGAGGTCCTAAAGATGTTTTAGTCGGTGTACAAATCCCTCTGGTGGTCGATAACCCAAGCTCTTGAGTTACATTTCCTCGTCAACGGCACTGGGCAGAACCCACCGGCACTCCTCGCGAAAAGACTGCCTAGTGACTGCCTAGTGGTACCATCGGCGATATCTACTTTTGTGTACACAATATCTTGGCTGAGTGGCTTCCCAAGAGATGCGAGAACATGCGAATCGATGCAGCAGTCAGAAAATAGCGATTCGCATACTCTGCAGTACTTCGAACCTGGAGCAATCTGCTGGTGGATATCCGGAAGAGCATTAGCCTTACGCACAATATCGCCTGCATCCTTGCCGAGGGATCCGCGAGCGGCTTCAAGATGGACTTTTCGGAGGCCTGTTCAATAGCTGGTGATACATAATTGCCAACCGAATCCACGAAAGAGATAGTCTCGCTTCTGTCGACGTGGGAGCCCAGCGCTAGCATAATGAACTCTAAAGTGAACCGAAAAGCGACCTCCCCAAAACTCCCATTCTGGTTTTACCCTGACCGGGCGGCCTTCCGTACACTGCATGCGACTTGACGTCATGAAGAGCGTATGCTCGGAGTGAACGGTCCCAACAGTATCAAACTATTCAGATCAAAAGATTCGCACGTATCGCGTCATGAGCGTGGTTAGAGCGGGGTTACCGAAGACTTGGTCGTGCTTCAACAGTGACTACAGTGGTATTAGCTAACACACTGGTGACATTCGTTTTCTCGACGTTAAACGGCCGGTTGACAAAAGGGGAAGGCTCGATCGATCTAGCTCTCGTTAAACAACAAGGCAGCTTCCTGAGCTCGCGCAACAGTTTGAGCTGCGTCGATTATCACGGTCACGGTCGGATATTTCCAATCTTGTGCTACATTCGTGCTGACTAGGATTTGGACGTTTTTCATGAAGAAGCTGATATACCTGAGTATCGACCTTCGTACCACATCATGCATCGACATGACGTGAAGCGTGAGGATGCCAAAGTTCAATGAACTTCGAGGCCACGTAATATTTCAGTCAGGTCTACAGGGCACCAGTGGCGGCAATCCGCAATGGTAACTCAAGTGAAAGTCGCATAAAAGCAAGCAAGCAAGCCTGTGGCCAAGGGGTTTGGGGCTGTAGGCTAGCTTCTGAAGGTTTTGTGAGAGCATTTCGAGCAACAAGCCAAAATATCTCTAGAGCGCAAGGGTTTTTGAGGTGCAATTCAGCGTCTGGTGTGTACGCCATATGCAGTTACTTGCATCCGATTGGCTTTCCAGATTTATCATCCTTGCGGTCTCTGTCTGTTGACCTCACAATCGCGAGGTGGGAAGGAAGAAGTACAGAATCAGAGACAAGAACCGGGGGAGGTGAGTCGACTTCTAAATCACAAGATTGACACGTTTGAAAACTTCGTCACGAGCCAAGTGCATCATAGGATGAGATTTGATCTTACATCAATCCTGTTTGTGCTTCAATGGCAATCAGCTTGTAGGGTTTGAGTGTTGGTGTAGAAAAAGTGCTGTGCTTCGACCATATTTCGACGTACCGTTCCTGGCTTTCCGGGCTACTATGCTTGACAAGCTATCTGGTTCTATAACCCGTTTGCATGTTCAGCTTTTGGGTATTGCTTGGTGCTCAGAGGCAGAAATGGAGATCTTGTATCTGATTTGTTTGCACAGGATTTTGGAACAGTATTGAAAAGCATAATGTGACCGAGGACATGTTTCTCCTTTCCTGGCAGCACATTCTCGTTTTTCATGACAAGCATAGGCATCATTGAAGCTTTGAAAAGGAGGAGGTACCAGATCGGGAAGTAGTATCGCCAATCCTTCGGGGAAGGGGCACTCTTGCGCTGGTGTTGTTCATTCTACGTGATTCAGCAGCTCAATCTACATGCATAAGCCTGACCACTTGCAATGTTGTCTGATGCAGAAGCATGGATCGAAAATCCTAGCTCTGCCGTGCTGTCAAAAACCAAAAGGAGCTGAAAACTGCTTTGCACAAAGATGGACACTGAGTCACAGTCGCTTTCGGACGCATCAGAGTCCCTGTCAGGTGAGCTTCGTTTCTGGGATCTCTTATATATCATGATTTCCACATTCTCGTTGACCTCGTAAGCTCCCGAATGTTCAAGATTCATAATCTAAGTTTCTGTCATCCCTCTTCTGTGACTTTCTTCGTGTGTTTTCTACAATATAATGGAATGTGTTCAAAGGTTTCCAATCGAAGCAGCTTTTGCTCCGTATAGTGCCATGCTTCATGACACCGAATCATTTGGACATATTTTGAAATGTTTTGAGTCATGTTGAGGTCAGGATGATTGAAATGCTCGGGGATTTTGAACATTTGACCTTTGAATGCAGTTTTACATATGGCAGGATGTTTGATCGTTTGGAAGGATAAATGAATGTTGATGTTTCTGCACTCATTAGCAAATGTTTCTGTCTGCTCTTGAGTGAGGCCTTATTTGAGTTTCAGACTGCCGGTATCGTTCCTCTTTACATCCTGTCTCTGCTGCGCAGAATTGAAGAGGCAGCGGGATGAATTGACGAGGCGCATCAAGGAAAAAGAGAATAGACGAGAACTCAGGAACGTGAAGCAGAGGATCGGACTTGAGGGTTCTCCAAGCAACGGAAACCACGATCTTGAAAGCGAGGGGTTACCGCAGTCGGGGAAAGGCAACGAAGGGAACGACAGCGAGGGAGCTGACGGGTCTGCAGAGCAGTTTGAAGGAAATGAGGAAGACAACCTGAGCAAAGAGGACAACGGGGCCGAACGCGAGGAGTCATCCTGCGGTCCAGGCAGGCATCAGATCGAGGAGAATTGTTTTTCGGACACGCAGGCGGAGAGGGAACAGGAGCGAAGCGGGTTAGACTCGGCGGAACGGACTTCAGATGGGAGCGCTGACGAGGAGAGCGAGTATTGGCCTCTTTCGGACGAAGAGGAGAGCGATGACGAACAGATTTCAGAAGCGAGTGGAGAGGAGAGTTTGTCCATACAGAGCGGAGAGAACGAGAGTGAGGATTGGACGCCTTCAGACGAGGAGGAAATTGGGGAGGAAACATTGGAAAGTGAGGATGAGAGCGACCTCGATGAGGCGGGTGCAATCGAGAGCGATGAAGAAGAGAGCGACGAGGAGTCGGAAAGCGACGATGAGTCGGACGACGACGATCCTTTTGTTGCCCCATTGCCAATCCCCGTGACGCCCCAGCTCCAGGCCGAGCTCCAGCGGCTGTGCGCGACGCGTATCCCTTACAACGGGAGCAGGGACTCGCTCCGCGAGCACTGCAACTTTGACCTGTCTACGCAGGGCCTGCCTCGGGCGGTGCTCGATCCGTCTGTCTACGTGGCGCACTCTCCGGAGCAGTCGAACAAGACTGTTGGGATCGCGGCTATCTCTATATTCGCGCATGCGGTCGCGCGCCCGAGCGTTGTCCTGGTGAAGGAGGTGGAGATGAATGCGGAGGGGGTCTGCGAGAAGCTGAAGAAGATCTTTCAGCCATTCGAAATGGAAGCGCTGTGCCTGACCGGAGCCAAGAAGGGTTGGAGAGCCCTTTCTGAGAGCCCCTTCAAGACGGGATGCGTCAGGTAGGTGAAAGATCAAGTAGCATAGTTTCTCGTTGCGATCAGAATTTGTTTCAAAACAACAAAATACAACGGCTGAGTTGGCCTGGAATCTGTCAGTCGTTTGTCGTTTTTGCTCGAAGTTAGAAAAGGAGAGGATTGCATTGGAAATCATGCAAACCTGCCTACAAGGCCTTGACCAGTCATGTTGAACCATTTCGTTCAGGTTCTAGTCGCCTTTGTAAATACTCCTGAAAAGACTGTTTTCTTGTTCAGTATTCTTGTTTGGTTTTCCAACGTGCAGGTCGGAAAGGTGCTGAATCCAATCAGACAACTCTTTGCCTTCACGTTTGTCAAGGACCAGTGTCATCCGTGTCCGACCATCTGAACAGCTTCTCGACAATCCTTTTCTGGTATGGTAAACAACGTCTGTATCATGCTCCTCTAATCAATTTGTTACTAAGTTCTTTTGTTTCGGTCAGGGACGGGCGCCTCGTGCTGGTCGTGCCCGCATATCAGAGCGCCATCAACCACTGCGCGGACTTCCTGCGCGAGAACCACATCCGTGACGTCATGCTGACTATGGACGAAGCGGACAACTTCTTCTCCAACTCGTGGACCCGGAGGACACCGCGCACTGGGGCTCGCTGCGCTTGACGCAGCTGGAGCGCGCGCTGGCGCGCATAGCCGGCCGCGTGCCGCTCGACGCCGGCTCTCGGGTGCGGTCTCTCGTCATGGTCAGCGCGAGCCACCTGGCGACCGTCAAGTGGCTCGGAGAGTTGCGGGTGCCGTTTCGGACGTTTCTGACGGACCTCGATCAACTGGACGTCCGCGGTTACGCGCTGGAGAGCGACCTGCGCCCGGTGTGGTTCATCGAGCGAGAGGCCGTCACCTTCAGTAAGCATGTTACCCGGCAGCGAGACAAACTCCGTCCCTTTGTTCAATAGGAATCATCTAGAACTGCTTATTCCTATTTCTTCAGCTTCTGACATCCTCTTAAACCCCTTGCTTGGCCGCACTCCCTCTTCCAGCTTCGCGGGTTTTGACAGCTTCAACTCGCCTCTAATAGATCCCGCCAACACAAGCTGCTTCTTGGTGGAATCCAAAAGCACTTAATTGTGGCCTGGATTAATCGAACTGTCCTGTTTGCATGCTGGCGCGCACTGCCAGTCTTGCTGCAATTGTCCCGGTTGGCCGCGACTTATAACCCGGGTTTTCTGAAGTGAGAGTGCTTCGTTCTCCAAGATCGCAGCTGTCTTATGAAGACGGCTGCACTCTTCCGATGGAGAGCTTCACAACCATGAAAGTCTGAAGAAGTCCTCAAAATTGTCGCAGAGAACCACTTCATCGCCGAATCTCTGATAGAAGAGTTTGTTTACCGCCGTTTTGGGCTCCGCTCGTATCCTTTGCAGGCAACAACTACGGGTTCCACGAGAGCTGCTTCGCCGAGTTCTTTCAAGACGTGGCGCAACCCGGCCCAGGGTGCAAAAGAGTTCTCGCTCTCATAGCCACATCCCCCCGGGTATGGACCAACGGGATGACGCTGTTCAAACAAGCCGCGGAAGCCGTCACGCGGTACGTACCGCACGGGATCGCTGTGGTGGTCTGCGGGAGGGGAATCTTCGTAACTAGAGCGGCGCTGGAACCAGACCCGGAAAACCTTGGGTGCTCCGCAGACGGCTGCCCCAAGGGCTTCCAGCGGCTCTTCCATCGGCCGGACGCGAGCGACTGGCGCATCGGGAGAGAGGTCATGATGCGTCAGGTGACCGAACTTCCTGAAACTCAAATCTGATATCTAGCAGGAATCAATAGAGTTGAGCCACGAGTATAGTGCCTCAGTGGTTTGCTCGCGTATGTGAGCCGTTGCTTACTTGAGGTCTGATCAAATTGGGCACGCTGACCGACAGGGAATTAAGCTATGCCGTCTGAATTTGATGCTCACCTTTCGAGGAAGGTACTTCGTCGAAAGTACCATTTCAGGAGTGCAACTTCTGCAGACGGGACAGTAAGGTATTCTAAACAGCAACGTGTCACAGCATGTGCAGTGAGACGTCTTCAGCAACCAAAATACCTGGCTAGAGTTGAAGATTTCATTTCAGGCGCCCAGATTTGCACGTTTGTTGTGATGCACAGTTCGACGTGTCGGTCATATACAACATCTTTGCAGCTAGAGTTCTAATCACAGGCAAATGCATGCTCATCTGCTCCAAAAGGACAAAAGTTCCTCCGAAAAAGCTGACAATCGGGGACGTTTTAGTTGACCCACATGGGGGACTTACTCTACTTCTTTGACTTCACTTTTGAATCTGCGTTAGCCGGACACAAGACCTAATGTCTATTACCAATTTCCCAGGTAAATGACGTCATCCAGAAGCTCGACTGTGAGTACGGGCTGAGCATTCCATTCATGGTGTTTGGGTACAACCTTACCGGGCGCAGCGTCAGCCTGCGGGCCCTCCTCCGCGTGCTGACGCACCTCGCGATCGCGTTCCAGAAGGGCCGCCACACCGCCGACCTGCGCCACACGTTCATGCGGGGCGCCGGGAAAACGCGCGCGGTGCGCGAGAGCAACGGGTTCGTGGGGGGGGTGCGTATCTTGTGCGTCAAGGAAGACTACGAAGTCGTGAAGGAGCTGTTTCACTTCACGGCGGAGGTTCTGAGGATGACGGCGGTGGGGCCGGGCCAGCGGCCTGACGTCAGCTGGCTGCAATACCGGCAGTACGCGCCGCGGTATAAGGAGGTCTTGGAGACGCAGCGCCCGCACGCGCGCAGGTCGCTGGGCTTGGACCTGTCGGAGGCTGGCGTCACGAGCGGAAAGCGCGCGGGGAAGAGCTTGGAGGCTCCGCGGCTGACGGTCTTGCGGGCGATCTGGGAGCTGGTCGACCGGGCCGATCCGACTTCGTGCGTTCGGAGGACCGACGTGCAAGCAAAGCTGGGAGGAGAGCTGGATTTGGATGAGTGGAAAGGCCAAGTGCCGAAGGAGCTGAGGAAGATGGGCTTCCTGGTCTTCAACAGAACCGCGGGTGGAGCATGGAGCGGGCTGTGGAACTTGACACCTGCGGGGCGGGCTTTCTGTGAGGAACAGTTCGGCAGCACGTCCAGCTAGGTGGCGAAGAAAGTCCACGCAAGTGCTGAGACATCTGACCACGTCACCGGATTGAAGGGAGGAGAGGAGTGTGATGGAAAGCAAGGAAGAAGAACTAGAGGAATAGATCCTTAGCAAGGCTCTGGCACTCGCGGCCCTCTCGCCACAGAGGTGTACAGATAGTAACTTTGTCTATCGCCTGATCTATAATGGACGATAGTGGGTTTACAGGGCGCCTACCGTAATCTACAGAAACGCTTCGAACGGCGTTAGTATTGTAGTATATTGGAAGGAGTCGGAGGGCTGAATAGATCAAGAGCATGGTGTAGCGCCGGCTGGAATAGGAGACAACCGAATGGATGAGAGACGCGAAAGCACAGTAACAGCCAGAATTGTGTACATAGGTGCCTGCAGTGGTTGCCGGTCAAGTCGTTGGATCCTCGATACTGCACCCGCTTGCGCGTCGTGCAATGTATTATATCAACTGGCAACAATGGAAGAGAACATCAGTACGGATATGAACTTGACTTCTTTAGAACAACTTCTCGTGTCTCACGGGAATTGCCCGTCAAGCTTGTCAAGACGAGTGTAGTCCTGGACGCAGTGCATGGCCGGTATAGACGACCTTGTTGCTAGATAGTTCGGCAAACGCGGGTGGTAAGCAGCGCCGGCGTTATCTGATCAACGATCGACACTGCAAACAGTGCTTGTTCCGTGCTGAAACTTGAAAGCTTCATATTTACATCTGCGTACACACGTTACAATGGTACTGTGAGCTTTCACTTGTATCGACAGTCCCTGAGTCAGCCTGCTTGGCGGGGCAGCCGCGCTGTGCACTGATCATATACACCCGGCTTGTTTTGACCTTCATATCTGACCATACATGTATAACGGTTTACCAGCGTAAATCATGCAGTATTAGGACAATTAACTATTCAGTCTGCACCTTGAATATTGAATCGTAAGAAGAACTAACTAGCCGCACCGCAGTACGGCTAGCCTGCTGAATTCCTTTGCCATGCAGGACAATATGAAATCCTGATTCTTTGTTAACCTATCCTATTGTGAAAAGTGTACCAGTCAATACGAATGGCAGAGCCGGAAGCATTCTCACCACTTGCGGTCCCCAAGATAGCAAGAATGATTCTGTCTGAAGAATAATGGATCGAGTCACTGCGTAGCACCGATGAAATGTCTCGTGTGGAATGGCAATTCCGAATAAGTTCGTCCGTACAGCAGGCTTAGTTTCGGAAGCGCTATACTTTTGCAATTACAAGATTGAGCCGAAAAGCAATCAACCTGTCTTCAGCTAAGATTAAACATAGTTAATGCTTTATCATGTTCAGCCGCGCCACAACATATGTGGCCCAATTATGACTCCGTAAAGGCCGGCCCGCAAAGCGATCTTTGTACGAATGAAACAGATGCCCCGGCGGCGCTGCCGCATGCCAAGAAAAGCTAGCTCCCGCCAAGAATCGAGATGATGCTCTGGCAGGCTCACTACTGAAATAAACCCTCATATTTCGCCGGTGATGAATTAATTGGCAGCACAGCTATAGCACTATTCATGAATTGCAATTTAAGGCGGGATCAATCACGGATCTGCGGCCGCGATCGACCTCGACTTATAATGACGGTTTCCTTGTATACAAGTGAAGATTCCGTCTTGCCAGCCGGCCGCACTGATCTATCGAAATGCCTCGTTGAAATTGTGCAAAAGCTGCATGAGAGTTTAAAGCGCCAGATTCCGACTGCTTGAGACGGTTCTATATGAACGGCGCACCGGCGGATATCGAATACGGGGGGGGCGCTGGTCTGTGATGCCTGCGTCGATCGTGTCGGAATGTGCGGCTATCATAGTTTAGTAAGCTCAAGTCAATTGTAGACCGGTTTGCAAAGCACCAGGGGGCCGCGCTGAGTCAGTGCGCTATGAAGTTGGATCGAGTTGAGCATTGTCACGTCACCAGCGGCAGCCATATTCCAAAATATTGCCGGCGGGCCTGGGGGCCAATTATTCCACTCGTGCGATGCAGGCATTGAATGGTCTGAAACGCCCCTTCAATATAGTATCTACCAGCAGCTGCGGCTGGTGCAAGGGTGCAGAAATAAAGCTTTACACGTGATCAAAGAGGACATTGTTTTGGGGCCGGGAATATATTCCCGACCGAATGCTCCGCAATCGACCGTTCAGGGCCCTCAACTTTTACGTACCATGCTCAGAATCCTTCATCGCTATCGAAGTCATCATCGTCTCCTAAAGTAAACTCAGAAGCATTCGCCGACCCTGCAACGGCCATCTTGGCAAAGTCGCTAGAAAGCGCAGCAGCCCCCGTCTTTCCAGGATCCAGTCCTCCACTTGCAGCGGGCGCTCTGCTTATACTTGCGTCCTCGGCTCCAAACACGTCGGCTTCCCAGTCGTCCGCCAACAGTGAACTCGCAACTGACGGCTTGACACTCGCGGCCCCTGACGAGCCTAGCGGTTCTCTGATGTCAGATTTGGAGACCTCTGCTTGTGTACTACTACCCGCGTCTCCCTTCCTGTCCTTGCTAGCTGACGTATCTACAGCGGCCGCACTATCTGCGCTTGCTCCTACCTTTGGGGCGGAGGACTGAGCTGGGCTTGCATGGTGCAGGTTAGACGTGGGCACGACGGATGTAACTCCATTCGCCGCTTCCTGCGGGGCTGGCGGTCCGGCAGTCGAAGGCCCACTATCGGATGCAGTCTTGACACTACTGCTGGGCTCCGTGGCACTAGGAGTCGCAGCATCGGTTGGTGGTGCTGGTCGTGGGAGAGTCCCAAGTGCGCTCCCAGGCTGTGCAGGAAACGGTTTGCGTCAGCATTGTGCATCGGAGAGTGTTTCCAGTGATGCTCACTGAGCTTTGAGTTTCCATTCAAAACTGGGCTTGTTGCGCAATATGAGACCGAGCCAAAAACCCGATCAAGACCAAATATCCCTGGAGCCTTGCGACCCATGATATGAAGCAGATCAAACTCCTCCAGCTCGAAGTATGCCAGGACTTCGACATATCGTACGGGAACTGGACCATAAGCGACTAGAGACGGGGGAACGGCTCAGTGGGATGTCAATCGGAATACGGCACAATCTGATTGGAACGTGCTTCAAAAGAATTCAACGATCGACATCCATTCTTTAGACGTCACTCTGTGTAGTCGACCTAGTCTCTGCTTGCGTCAGAGCTCAACTCCGAGGAATCCTTGAAATATCCGTCAGGAGATGAAAGCACCGCATATTGCCTCAAAGCCTCATACATGCTGTAGAGCGTCTGCAATATCTCTCATCCGGCGGATTGATGGACGAGATTCTGAATTGCTGGTTCGTAGCAGCAAAACGTTGTGCATAACAGAGGTGCCGGTTCACGATCCTGGGTTTCTTACAAAAGTGCGCTCACCTTCTCGGGCGGTGTTTCTCGGACGCTCTGGCTTGGGGCCTCCGCAACCGCACTGGACGGGGTTGCACCCCGCTCAGTCAAGTGTGCTGTCAAAGTGCCCAGGGGTGGGGCATGCGCGGGGACGCTGGTAGCTGCTATCCGCGGACTGCAAACGAAAGAGCGGTTGGGGTGAGAGTAATCAAAAGAGGTGTCGAATTCAGAAATCCGACAGTAAGGATAAGGTGGGTAAGATTGTAATAAAGGGAAGAAGGTTCACACCTAGGTCCACACCTAGGTCCAAGGGCGAGCGAACCAGACGGAGAGAACGAGCGGGCAATAAGAGGGGAGAGAGGGGCAAGCAGAAGGTCGGAGCACGACTGCTGAAAGGTAACGTAAGCTTCAAACAGCGGGGTCTCCTTCCTTTCACAGCTGTTTGTGAGGGTACATGTGGCGAACGTCATTTTTCCAGCGAAAGACAGCGTATTCACCACTATTAAAGCGACTGCTCGGTCCGTCCCCAGTCACGGGGGTCCAGAAGCTCGAATCCGATACTTCCCAAAGAAGCGTCCATCGAAAACTAATGCCCTCTCAGCATTAGTCAGTGCAAAGAAGTCAGCGCAAATAAGAGGGACTTGGATTCAGATCCACATCATTACTTCAACAAGGGCGGGCAGCAAAGCAAAGAAGTCAAAACAGTAATTGAGGTTAAAGCAAGTACCAGCCCCAAAACGTAGTTTAGGCCAAAAAGGGGGTCTTAGGCACCTCCAGCACCTCGTCACCAAAAGAGATGTGAGCCGTGGAAGAACCCCTGAGAACCCCTGCTTGGCCCCCTCACCTGGGCTCTTCCTCGCTCTCCCCAAACACCTCATCCTCCTCCCGTTCCTTCGTCGTCTTCAGCCGACCCCCTTTCCCGGACCCCTTACTCGACCCCTTTTCCGCCTCCGCATTCGTTCCTTCGCCCGGCCCCCCTCTCGCCGAACCGGTCAGTGTCCCGAAGCCCGTCGGACCGTCCAGCCTTCGCGGCGCGAGCGGTTCGGGAGCGTCCGGTTCCGACGTGGTCGCGGCCGCGTTGCTTTCGGCGCGGGCGGCCTGGGTCGCGGGGTCGAGGACGACGACCTCGACTTGGAAACCGGGCGAGGGCAGCCGCCTCTGCGAGGGTGTTTTAGGGTTTTAGGGAAGAACGTTCGCAAAGATTCCGACCACTTTGTGCTCAACCTCTTACAAACTGGAAGTGAGCGACCGATTGCCCCTGGAGGAGGGCGTCAACTTCTGGATCCAGCGACTTCCAAGTGGACGTCCGAAGACTCCTAGTGGACTTGGCAGGAGCTTCTTTGAGGCTAGAGATAAGCAGCCATCTCTCTGTATCAGGATTCCCGGCAGCCAATTAAGAACCCGCTGCACAAAGACGAAGGCAATCTACAGCTAAGCAGAACTTGGCGTTTGACATTAGTAGACAGTCGAGCCATGACAAAATCCACGACCAAAGGGACAAACTCAGTGCAGAATCTAATTTGCGACTCGAACGTGGTCCCACTGCAAAATCGTAATCATTCCAGTAAGTAACGGTATACGTTTCCAAGGTGCTTTCCGTACTTTGCAAAGAGTTCTGCCGGCAATCCAATGAAAAGACTTCTCTCTGGCTTACTTCGTAAGACGGTCTCAATTCGGATTTACCGTGCACGTTCGAATGTACACGTTCGAAAGTAATCTCCCAAAGTGAAACCGGTCCAGGTCTTCGGATTTCAACTATTGCCGCGTCCACTTATGCTCGTGCCGAACCCGCACTAGATCTCTCCGTGCAATGCGCGAAACAGAACTGATAACATCCTTGACTGTGCCTGATCGTGGTGCTCCATAAAACAGTGATTGCAGAAGACTCTTCTCACTCCGTCGAACCAGCTCTAATTCTTCGCCTCAAGTAACAGCCAAGTTCGAATGCGCTCGTGCTGAGCCACTTGTAAGAGTTGCCACACGATTGCAGAGCAAAAAATGACAGTGAACGGAAACTTAAATGTGACCCGTTACATTGCCTCGTAAAACGGGTCCCTCACCTTATCGAACCAGTCCAGATCCTTCGCTTCCAGGAACTGCCTCGTTCCAATCATGCTCGTGTTCAGCCAGCAGTAGAAGTCGCCGTGTCGATCATGAAACAAGACCTTGAAGTCCCCGCTGAGGTCAGCAACGCACCGCTCCCCCGGAAGCGCGAAGACCATGACGCCTTTCCGGGGGGCCTTGTGCCAGAGGTCGTCGGTGGCCAGGTCCTTGGTGCGGGGGTGCTTCTTGGTGGAAAAAATGACCCCTGGAACAGAAAAGTACATATACTTTGTTGGCCTTCCGTTTCAGCTTACCAGGTTTAGGTCAGACGGCTTGGTGCTCTGAGCGGAAGATTACAAAAGTAACGGCAGGCTGTGGAGATGGTCTGACGCACACAGTTCGGAACGGGGAGTAACGATCGTAAAATCTTATATTTCTGTATTTCGATCCTGTTGGAAAGGCGCTTTTTGTGAAGATTTTGTCCCAGATCCAGAAGGGGCCGCCTGCCTAGTATTTGAATGAGTCAAAAGCGTTCGTTGGCTACATCAAATCCTCGCTCACCACCCCGAACATCCAAAATCCGTACAAGTGGACGGTCAAAAGAAGTGAGAAGCACAAGCCGTCAAGAAAGCCTCACCATTGTGATCCAGCACTGTGATGGCATGCCGAATCCATTAGGGACACTTATGCAGCCAAGTGCCCCACAAATTGCTAAAAAGGCACCTGCTAAGTTTTCAACCCTGATAAACATTTCCCTCAATTGTCGGCCACTTTTCACTCCTTGCGACTCCTTGCGATTCCGGGGACGGTCCAGCTCGCACAAAAGTTTTTCAGGACCAGAAGCTTTCGATAGGCCACTTTCCAATCTCTTGAATTTCGCAATCGAGGTTGATACGGCGATTCGTGGACCTCACCGTCGTGATCGAGGACGCTTATTGCAGGCCGGATCCAGTAGGGACACTTGTGCAGCCGGATCCCCCGTAGGATCCGCGCCTCCGGCGCCGGTGTGTCCCCACCATTGCGCAGGATGCTCTCGAAGTAGTGCACGTAGCGAATCTGACTGGGTAGTGTCAGGCCCAGGTTGTCAGTGCAGCGCTTGGAGTTGTAGAACTTGATGGCCTCGTCCGCCGAGTCAAAGAGCTGCAAAACATCGGGCTTGAGTTTGTTGTGGTCCAATGTGGAGGTGACTTACTAACACACGTATGCTGTGATAGGAGTCACGTAGGGGATCTGGCTGCCGTGTGCACTGCAGCGGAAGTTGATGGCTTTGTCCCGCACAACAAAGAGCTGTAGAGACGAACTGGAGGAGTCCAAGACCAGGGAGATCATTATGAAAGTGAATGCTAAGATACGCTTTTGAATCAGATACAGCACAGATTGTCAGTGGACTGTTCTCGGCTTCTGAAACTGATGCCCTCTGCCGCCAGATCGTGAAGCCGCAGGACCACCAGGCTTTGTGACACGAGAATCGGGATGGTTTTCGAATCTTGAGAAAGAGGAGACGTGTAGCACTGTCTTACGTGACGAAACTGGTCGAGCAGATCGAGCAGATTGCGGGCCCGATCGTCAGGGCATGCATCGAGCTTGACGGAATTTCCGTTGTACCCAAGTAGGACCATAGCCGCTTGCTTTGCCGACTGTCCGAGCAACTTCATTTTAAGCTTCTCCTCTTCCTGTTCCAACACCCGAACGCCCCTTCCTTCCCCCCAAATCTTGGAACAACATTGACCCTGCTCACTACGTTCAGAAGAAAAGCATGTGAAGGAATAAAGACAGCAATCTCACCTTCAGATAAAGCAGCAGGCAGCATATCATGAGGCCCGTGCGGCTCTTGCCGGCCTTGCAGTGCACGACGACCATGTTGTTCATGTCCCGCTTGAGCCAGTCGTACGCGCTGTCGCAGAACGTCTTGAGCAGGGGGAGGGGCGGGCAATTGTGGTCGTCGAAGGGGAAGCATGCGACGAGGCCCTCAAATAGTGCGCTGTCATACAGGCGTTCGGAGCACAGGTTGAAGATCTTGCACTTGCCCTACACGGAAGTGATTATTCACCTCAGCAAAGTGGAAAAACGAAAGGGGTGGGGGCAACCGAGGAAAGCAAAGACCAGGATTTTGAAGTAAGCGGGGTCGTACAGGCGTTCGGAGCACAGGTTGAAGACCTCGCACTTGCCCTGGGGGAAGTAAAGACTCGTCGCTGTTCAGATGGGGGGTTGAAGTGGGGGTTTGAAGTCTTATAGAAAAGAAGGGGGAAGGGGGGGGGGGCAAACGAGAAGCAACCTGGAAGAGGGTGTGCGTTTGTACAGACACCCGGAGCACAGAACGAGAATCTTGCACCTTGCCATCCACGGGTTGTTCCGATCAAAGGCAAAAAGAAAGGCGCTTGGGGAAGGAAGGAAGAAACACCGGAGGCCAGGCTCTTTTAACAAGTGCTGCGATGTAGGGATTATAGAGGGGAATGAAGATCGTGACTTTGCCCTGCAAAGAGGGTGGTGACGGGGTCTGGGTGCTTCGTTGAAGGACGGGGCTTTATGAAAGGATGAGAGGAAAAGGGATGGAGCAGTTGGAAAGCATGCAACCAGGCCCTTCAACTGGGGGTTGGAGAAACTGCACTTGTCGTATAAAGTCGACGACGGTTGGCCAAACAGGGCCCAGACAGAGACTTTTTAGAGGGTTTGCCTGCGGACAGGTATTGCGCTCGGAGGTGCAAAGGAGATCTCTTTGTTAACAGACCCGCAGGCTGGCACTCGGTGACCCGAAGCAGGAGAAGGAATCGAAGGGAGGCTTGATGATGTTCGCCAGAGCTCAAGACTAGTGACAGTTACCTGCAAAGCAGGTCATGTACATACGAAATACCCTCTTGAAGAAGCTCAAGATGGGCGCAGGTGTTGGTGCCAAGGAAGGGGTTGCGGTGGGCCTGTTCCTGCCCCTGCCAATGTGCAAATACGCAAAGAAGGCCTACATGCGCTCTGGAAGAGAAAGACATTGGAGGCGCGCCTGAGGTCTGGGGTTTGCCCTTACCTTATGATGAGCATCCAAGAAGCGGACAACCTCCTCCATGTGATTCCGGTAGAAGCCCTGCAACAAACATCGACAGCCATCAGCAATTCTGCAAACAAAGCAATGCCTGCTGCGAACTACTTCTCGTTTCTTGACTCGTCTCAAGGTGGCGCAAACAGGAGGGGAAAGTGACTACTGGGGAGAGGCCGCAAGCTCTGAAACCTTAGTAACCTCCCGTCCACAGAAAGTTTTTACAAAATGCAAGTTTTTACTTCTGCAAGGCACGGCTCAAGCATTCAAACTCTTGATCGATATCATTACGCCTAAAAGTACTTAACGTCGAGGCACTGAAATTGCTTTCCACTAAGTCATTCCTGAAGTATGCGCACGCATCAAAACATGTTGATATGACTGTACACTCAGGAGAGCGAAGGCAATTGAATTTAGCAACCTCTCATGGGCATGTCTGGATTTCTCCTGAAAAGAAGGGGCTTATTAGCACCAATCTGCAAACTATAAACGTAAAGTTGATGCCAAAAAGACCCTGCATGTATCAACATTCTAGAGTAGAAGTGTGTCTGCACCCCACCTCGACATATCCAAACAGGCCCGAGCTGAGGTCCCCCGCAGGAAAGCCCATTGCTATGATGTTCTCGGTGATGTAAGAGAGGTCTAGGTCGTACTCTCCGTCCTGCAAATGGAAAAAGTCACTGATCAGCAACGCTTTCCAAATGTACCTGTGGCAGCACGCAGCTTCAGAAAATGCAATTATCGAAACCCAGCATGTCTCCAGAGCGGATTCAATGTCAGCTCGCAAACGACATGATGATCCACTCATCTTTTTTATTCTTTCAAAAGGGTTTGTCAAGAGGCCCGAAAGCTTGTAATGCGCAAAATGTCATACCGATTGACCACTGCGTGATCAACCCTAATGCAACAACAAATCCTTGGTGACTTTGGTGCCTGAGTGCGGTTCTTGATGACGATCTTGATCAATCTTAAAAGAATGACTTAGCACCAATGGGGATGACTGGATTGGGCCCAGGTTCAGAGTATAACATGATCAAGAATCGTAACTTCTGACGTGATTACTTTGATTGAGTTCGGAGCTGAGAATGATCTTCGCAAAGTGAAGGGAGCTACAGGTACTTACAGGAACTGCAAAACAGAGAGTCGAAATTGTTCAGAAGCTTGACTCACCATGTACCGTCGCTTATTCTGAGACACCAGGTGCCGCACCGGCTGGCTCACAGCCTTCACAGCCGTCTGCTTCAGGCTCTGGAACCTGCTTCCCAAGGACGCGAAATTGAGCCCGCTGCCAAAGCTCTGCTTCTCACTTGCATCGCTGGATGTCATGCTCTTGCCCTCTGTTGCGTGACCTTTTAGCTCAGATTCTGTAGACTGTGTAGAATGTGTGGTTGTCAACGAGGGCTCAGCTTTTGCTGTCTGATTCGGCACTTTCTTCTCCGCGTCCCTCGTCGCTTGCAATGCGGCCAGGTTCTTTGCAACAACCGCACGCACCGAACCAAAGGCTTGTGCCCCAGCATCCAGTAGAGTTGTTCCTTTATTTGATCCTTCTTTCTGACCAGAGACTGCCTTGGGAAGAGCAACTTTAGGTCTGGTCTTGCCAGCATGTAGCTTTTCTGATTCAGATTTAGCCAAACCGCTTTCTGACTGATCCGAGGAGCTCAATTCAGCGCTGCCTGCACTGAATGACTCTGGGAGTGCCGCTTCGCTGCTCGGGCTTTGTCCTTCCACAGAAATTGCTGGGCCGGACGCAGCCGGGGCTGCAGAGACTGGTCTCAATTCAGAGGCCCCTGATGAGAGTGCTTGACCAGGATCCATGGCGCCCTTCTTCTTTGCTCGCAATGCATGCACTTGTGGCAGTGCTCATTTGCCTGATTCACAGCGTAGGAGGAGATTGAATGTGCGCGCGCACGCTGCAAGAGTATGTGCAAGAGGGCTTTCTTTTTGGTGGGGGAGCTGATTCACTAGAAGCTCACCGGAGGGGTTAGCTTAGCTCGCCCTCCAACAAGCAGCTGTGACCCCCCAGTACGCTTCAATGAACACATTTAACACCCCCCTCATTGACAACTCACCAGCGAATCTTACGCGCGCTCTTTGCTGAGCCTGATCAAATTGTACTTGGAATCTTTCTAAATTTTCTGGCTTCTTTGGGAAAGAACAAATTCAACAATCAATGAATCATGGCAGCTTGCACAGCACATCCATGGGTTCCTGGGCGCCAGCAGGCAAGGTTCCACCTTCCTGCTCAGCTTTCAAATCCCGCGACCGAGTCAGCAAGTGCTTATTGTGCTAGCAGGGATTCTTGTGACAAGCTGATGTAAGTAGATATGCATACGATAGAAAGTGCGGGCCGGGCCAGGGCGTCGCTAGACAAGGCTTCTGCAGATGGTCAGGAAGGTCTGAGTAGAGCCGCCATGTCCAAGGGGAGAGCGAACGAGGGTGGGCCTCAGTTGCATAGCAGCCACAGCGCCCCTGATTTGAGGCAGTCGAGCCGGTTCGAACGGGATGCCCAACCGCACACCATACACGAGGATTCGCAGCTACACCCGGTTCATGAGGAGACCGGGCAAGCTGGCGAGCAAATCGACCCAATTGGGATTGAAGATGGCGCTCAAAAGCCTGTCGTAAGGGAGAAGATTCGGAAGAACCTGGCAAAAGTCGCCAATTTCTTCAGAAGGAGTGGACGGGAGCCCGAGTCAGATGAGGAGGGAGGAGATGCCTCCAGCAGAAGTCCTAGACCAAATGCTGACGGGGCAACGCCCTCGAATCCTGCTGTCCGAAGGCTCAGCCGATTCTCGGACGACAGTCTGCATGGCTCGCGCCTGTTCAGGGAGAGCCAGGAGGGGGGGAGCTTGCGGCAGGAGGACAATGATGAGTTGGAACGATCACACGGCAGGTCCTCAAGAAGGCGCCTTGTCAGGACGAACGCAATTGTGCAACGGTCGGCCCATGTGATGAGGAGGTATACCACTCATAGCGTCAGTCGGAGGTCTCTGACTAAGGGGAACATGGCAGGGCAGGTGCGCATTCATGCTTCAATCGCTCTTGAGTATTTTGCGCTTCTGTGCCTGGTTGAAGGGGGGCAAAAGTGGTCTCTTTTTGACCATCTCACAAAAGGGGCAGTCGATATGAAAGGGAATGACGCTGTTTGATTGCAAGTCCTGCGACAGAGAACGGTCAATGCTTTACAGTGCCAGACGAGATTGCGGTGAGAGATTCTATGTCTAATTTTGAGAATTGTTGATCACCAGAATTGTTGATCTCCTGGAGGTGCACCACCTTCTGATGTTCAAAGAACACCTTCCAAAGATCTAGCAAGGCACAAGCTTGCTGATTCTGGGAGTTCTGGTAACTCCCCCCATTGCTTCCCTTCTTGATGCATGGCAAAGAAAGTCTCCAGAGTGAATAAGATAGGAGATCCAAGCAACAGAGGAACGTTCAATCTACTATGTCTTGAGTGCCTCAACAGTTGACTGCTTATGATAGGCGCCTCAAAGACGGTTGGGGGTTAGGCTGGTGGTTAAGGGTGGGTGGGGATGTGGAGCACGTTATCGGACTGATTGAAGATTTTCGATTGGGGGGCCCAGGAATCTAAAGTCACTCTACTGTCAAGCCACTCGTGAGTTCCAGTGCAGATTCCATCGGCTATTTGCAGGAGGACAACCCTCTCGCCCAGGATACGGCCTCTCGAGTCAGTACCTTGAGCGAGGGCTGGCAGCGCGAGTTCTACGGGAAGCCCCTCTCTGAGCTGACGCGGATGTCGCGCTCCGAAGACCAAAGTTCGATACATTCTGGAAAGACGGGGTCGTCCTCTGGAGCGGGGGACTCGCACAGCCATTATGGAAGGTCGACTGAGAAATCCCCACAGGGGGTGTTGTTGCCGTTGATTCACCCGTACTCGAGGGCCCGGCGTGATGTGAACGTGCTGGTCGCAGTCTGCCTGCTGTATGTTGCGGTGAGGGGTTTAGAACTGATTTATGTGTACAAAAACCCACCATAAAGCGAAGTCGTTGTTCCGGCCAGGAAGAAGAAAAGTACAGTGCATCGTTGAAAGAGCTGAAAAGAAATTGATAAACAAGGATCAGACGGACCGTTGATATAGATCCGGAAGGAGCCTGAAATATGAGGGACTTGGAATTTGCAAGCGATAGCCCTTCGAAAACGGTGTTTAGTCCATGTCATGGAGACCATTAACTTGCCGCTCTCTCTGAAGGTTGTTGCATTTGCAGCGAATGACAAGGACAGCTTCACACATGATCGGTGTACTTGACGTTGTCAACTTGTTTCCAGTGGAAAGAACGCCCCACTCTGATCGTCAAAGCGAAGGCAGTTTGAGAGCTTTATCGAAATGTTCATGGTATCGGCGTTTACAGGTCTTTCTGCCACAAAGAATCTAGCTTTTTTACTTCTTTCTCCATGCAGATTGTGTTACCCTACGAGTTCTGCTTCAACGTGCACGTGAAGGGCTACTGGTTGATTGCGGACAGCATCGTGACCGTCATCTTTCTCTTGGACGTCCTTGTTAACTTTCGGACAGGTATGCATTTGCCCAATCACTCAAAACCCTCTGCTAGAAAGACGGCAGCCTCCGTCGATGTGTCCTCCTTCCTTCCATTCTTTTTTCCTCGGTGTCAAAATGCGTCTTGTTCGCGGGCTGTTGTCTAATGTGACTGGACAGAACACGTCTTGAATTCTTCGTCCGGGTGCTTCTTGTTCAGCTTCGTTTGGCACGCGTCTAATTGTACTTGCCATGCTCGCTTGCCTTGTGCTCAGACAGCTGTCCATAAGTTGTCATCGTGGCGTTTCAAACATACATGTCCTAAGATTGCTAAGATGCTAAGATTGCTTGTCCTAAGGTTGTGTACCGTATGCAGTTTTTGTACTAAAGTGCAAGCGCGAGGTGAAAGATGGCATGCGCATCCTCAAGCCTGCCAAGAACCCGATGGAGCCACACGCCCTATAGGCCTTGATTCTTCGCACCCCAGAGAGCGTCTTTGATGCGGTGACTGCAGGATCCAGGGAAAGCGCGAGGTGAAAAGCGGCCTGTGCACCCTCGAGCCTGCCAAGATCCTGACGGAGCCACGTACCCGAACACCTGCTTTTACGGTCGGAATTCGTAGCGGTCTGGTATCTCATGTTTGACATTCCTCCGCGCTCCTAATGCAGGGTTTGTTCTGAAGGGCAAGCGCGAGGTGAAAGACGGCCTGCGCATCCTCATGCCCGCCAAGATCGTGATGGAGCCACGTGCCATCGCCCGCCGCTACGTAAAGGGCTGGTTTACCATCGACTTCCTCTCGTCCTTCCCGTGGGACTTTCTGCTGTTTGCGCCATCGGTCAGCAGGCGCTACTGGGTGCTCCAGGTTAGCAGCTAACCCATCGCCTTTGTCTGCCGGGTTGGTCTATCTCAATCTTTCACAAAGACAACTCCGAACCTCCCAAAAAATGGTTCTTTACCTTCTTTCTCATCGGATGCAGATCTGCTTGATAGTTATGAGTGTCTTACTTTTATGAAGTACAGAAATTGTTGTTCTCCAATAACCTTCTTTGTGTTTCTTCTCTGATTCTCAGTAGTACCAATGTCGAAGTTACACTGATGCTTTCCTTCGTTTGTCTTCTCTCATCTCTGCTAATCGATCAGGTAAAAAGCGACCGTTCAGAAATATCAAAAAGACCTCTGTACAGCTCGTTTATCTCTTCTCATGCCCGCACGAGCCATATGATCCTGACTCGAGCCAACCCCCCGCGCAGATCCTCCGGTCCCCTAGATATTTTGCTGATTCACCGGCTGACCACCTTATTCCTTGTTGCTAATCACCTCGCAATCAGGATTGGTCACTCCATACAGATCTATCTTTTTCCGTGTCCTCTGTCCATTTAGGACTCATCTTTTCGTCCAGACTGATTGATTTCACCAGTCAACAACCCGCTAAGATGGGGCTTAGTCAAGGAGCTAGCGTCCGTCAATTCGGGTCCGAGCAGGGGGCCCTTGTTTCGAATTGGCGCATCCACCGCTTGGCAATCGCCTCATTCATCGTCAACTACCTGCCCCCCAAGAGTGTTCGTATGCGGAAATGTACGATCATCGTCGATAGAATCGTATATTGTACGGCTAACGAAATTCACCACTTTCTTGTGCGAGTACGTAAAATCGAAAGGTTTTAGGTGTCACTTTGGGATGTGGATCTTTCATTTGGATTTTGCACAAATTGCAACTCTGCTTTTCTTGCCTGGTATTCAGCAAGTTGACGCCTTTTTTCTTGTAGGTTCTTCACTTCGCTTTTTCACCCTTAGGTTCCCGTTATATTGTCAAGTTTTTTACATTGACCCCAAAGTATCTACTTTCAGCTGTATCTCCTTGGCAGTACGGTACACAATCGTCTAACCCGAGGTCATGCCTCTCCGCGCAGGTTCTCCGGTCCCTCAAGATTTTGCGCATCCACCGGCTGACCACCTTATTCTCTGTAGCTAATGACCTCTTGATTAGGGATGGTGGAGTGTTTGTATACTGACATCTACGAAAATCGTAAATATTACCGTATACACGATGATCTAACCTGAGGTCATGCCTCGTTCCGCGCAGGTTCTCCGGTCTCTCAAGATCCTGCGCATCCAACTTATTCTCTGTGGCTAATGACCTCTTGACCAGAGATGGTGGAGTGTTTGTATACTGACATCTTCGAAAATCTTAATTATTACCGTATACACGATTGTTCAACCCGACGTCGTTGCTCTCCGCGCAGGTCCTTCGGGCCCTCAAGATCCTGCGCATCCACCGGCTGAGCATCGTGCGCTCCGAGCTGCGCGAGACGTGGTCCGCAGGCCAGCGCGAGTTCATCGACATCTGCCTCCTCTTCTTTCTGGTAAGAGTCCGCCTGAAATTTCTCGACTCAGTTGGACTCGCTAAGCGTTGATCAGAGTCGCCAGCGCGACTCCATCGACATCTGCCTCCTTTTTGTTCTGGTAAGAGTCAGCGTGGTATATCTCAACCTAGTTGGAGTTGCCAAGCTCTGGTAGGATTTGCTAATTTAAATCCAGCGCGACTTTATTGACATCTGCCTTCTCCTATTTCTGGTGGGTCCACTTGGATTTTCCGATCTAGTTGGACTTGATAGGTGTCGCTGAATGGGGATCCGTACAGAGTTGCATCCGACACACAACGAATCCTCCGACCTAGTCGGACTTGCCAAGCATTGATAGGTGTCGCTAGATAAGCATCCGTACAGAACCCCGTCCAATACAGACTCAATTCTCCTCTCATAAGGTCAACGTCCGACTTTTCTGGTCTTGCAAACCCTTTACTATTTACAAACTTTGCACATGTTGTTCCGGTTGGCAAGCTTCAACGCGACCTGCATCGGGGGCTGGTAAAAACCACACTACAACAATCAGCCAAACACTGCCGTCATCTTAAAGAAGCTCTGCCGAATTCCACTTCTCCCTTCATTCAACCCTGATTTCTCAATTTTCTCAATTTTTCGCAGACCCTCTACATTTCGCATCTTTGCGCGTGCTCCTTTGTCGCGGTAGGCAAGCTTCAGCAAGACCCGCAGCGACGGCAGAGCAGATTACATCAAGACGATCGACCATTAGCTGCCGTCCTTTCAAACAAGCTTTGCCGAATTCAACCTCTTCTTTTGATCAACCCTGACTCCTCGTTTTGCAGACCCTCTACTTTTCGCAGTTTCGCGTGCGCCTCTTTGTTGCGGTAGGCAAGCTACAGCAAACACCTGCAGCGGTGGTTAGTGCCAACATACTAGAACGATCGACCGATTGCTGCCGTCTTATTGAACAAGCTCTGCCAAACCCACTTCTTCTTTCATCCAACCCTGACTCCTCACTTTTGCAGACCTCTCCTACTCGCACCTTTGCGCGTGCCTCTTCATTGCGGTCGGCAAGCTCAGAGCGATCCGCAGCGGTGGTTGGATCAAACCCGTTACGACGGCCCCAGAGACACCGTTTCTCCTAATATTTTTCCTCGAACATATTGAAACTGTTTTCATTGAACTCCATTTTCCGGTTTTGCAGACCCTCTACTTTTCCCACCTCTGCGCCTGCCTCTTCGTTGCGGTCGGCAAGCTGCAGAGCGATCCGCAGCGGTGGTTGGATCAAAGCCATTACGACGACCACGGAGAGTCTGGAACTCTTTCGGACGCTCCTGAGATTGACGTGTACATAGCGTCCATGTACTTCCAAATGATATCGTTGGCGACGGTAAGTTATCTGCCCGTAGCAACAGTCCGTTCTGAAGCATCGCTTGATTCGCCCGAAAACGGTCCGCATTTCGTCACGTGTCCGTTGGCTCTGGTGCGCTATCTGCCCGGCTTATGCTCCCGTTGACGTCTAGTCCCTCTCTGCTGAAAATTGTCGCCTCAGCTGAGCAGGGTTTTCATTGGCGTGACGGACAGTTCGAGAGCTTTGGCCAAATGGGTCAAGTCGATCAGGCAACGTGAAGACGAGCACTGGACTGCAAGTGCACGGAGAAGCCTTGTTTACATCCTGTGGTTGCTACGAAAGCTTGTTGCTACCTCAGCAACGTCCGATCTACGGAAAGCGAGGAACATACGCCACGATTCGTTCTGCAAGTGTCCGAAGCAGGAGCAGATTGGCGGAAGACGTTGGATGGAATCATTGTCGCAGGATCTTTCAAGCCCAAGAGAAGCCCTTCTGAAGGATGATGCAAACCCCGGATCATGTTCTCTCCGTGAGCCGAACGGCCGTTGTGATTTTTGCAGGTTGGTTTAGCTTCGAGAATAGCTCAAGGGGTTAGAGCGGCTGCTTTGGCTGGCAGTGACATTTCGCAATTGGACCGAATGGTCGTGAATTCCATTCGCGAGTGTAGGACGGTCGACCTTTTCAAGGTGTTCCTGCCGATCGCGTATGGCAGTCCCGGTTTTCAGTCCCGCTTTTTTCAGCAGATGAGGCCGGTATGCTGAGACGGTACCTCGGTTCTTCCAGGTCGGGTATGGCGACATCCATGCGGGAATCACCATTCCGGACCGCGCGTTCATGACGGTGGCGGATCTCTTTGGGGCGCTGCTCATGGCATATATCGTGGGCAAAATCTCATCGATCATCATCATGAAGAGGTGAGCAGCGCCTGACACGTGTCCAGCAATCATGGTTTCCTCTATTTGCTTCTTTGGGTCTGTGCTTATACCTCAATCTGGACAGACTGTCGTCGCTCATCGTCATCGAAAGGTGAGGAGCCGGTGACACGTGTCTAGAAATGATCGCCTCATCTGTTGCTTCTTTGGGAGTCTGCCTCTAGTCCAGATTGTGGGCAAACTTGTCCTCAATCATCGTCTTCGAGAGTTGAGGAGCTGCTGACACGTGTCCACCAGGATTCTTATTCTTCTTTTGTTTTGGGACGCTGCTCACGGCATGCATCATGTCTCTAATTATAGCAAAAGTAAGCTCTAGCTTTAGTAAGCTCCTGCACTAAAATCAAATACCCAACCCACAGAATCACCCGCCCCGCACCCGAACCCACCCTAACCCCCAATCTAACCCTACCCGTCCCAGGCTGTTTATCTTACTATTGCTGAAGCTTACTATTGCTAAAGTGAAGATTCTTGCATGCATCCTGGGCACAAACCCCTCGCGCATTTACGCCGCTGTCCATCCTAGAAGTTGGCAGCGGCTGACACGTGTCCAGCATTTTAATCAGATCTCTCAGAATTGTTGGGGCGCTCCTTGTGGCACACCGTTGGCGGAACCCGTCACCATCTTCTGAGCGCGTCATTTGGAGCCGCTTCCTGTCAGCACCTCTGGAGGTGTTTTTGGATCCCTCACCGTGGGCTCTGATCGTTGCGACAGCTTACGGGCAATGGTTGTCATGCAGCGGGCGCTGATGGTCCGCCCTCAAAAATCAGTTTCTCGATCCATTCTTTTCTCGATCCGGGTAACCTTGAAACCTTTCTCCAGGGACCGCCTACAATTGCTGTCCACCTGAAATATTTAACCCTACTTTCTGAAAAACTGAAAGTCCATCCAAAGTTCTCTAGGGACCGTCGATACGCCCTCCGGGAGCGCTTCGCCACGTTGCACACGTACGTCGCGCGGGAGCAGCTCCCCGAGTGGCTCTCCACGCGCCTGATGGTCCACCTGTCGCGCCAGTGGAGCTCGCAGATCATCGAGTTCAGCGAAGTCGAGCTGATCAAAGACATGACGGTAAGTTAAACCCCTTCTAATTCTGAATCTTTAACCCGATTCTAGTTCCCTTTTTCGGGTTTCGGAAGCCGCTGAGTCACTTCTGTTGGTCCACCTGTCGCGCCAGTGGAGCTCGCAGATCATCGAGTCCAGCGAAGTCGAGCTGATCAAAGACATGACGAACTGGTCGTTCAGGATCAGCAGGAGTACTGCCAGCTTTCCTGGATGTGAAACTTTCCGCTCAAGATTTTCACAGGGTTTGTTGATTTCAGCGGATCCACTCTAGTCAGACGCCAGCTTTTGCCGACTGGGACACCGTTTCTTTCGCCCTTCGCAGGACGAACTGCGAAGCGAGATGCTGATTCATTGGTGGCGCAAGACCATCCCGTCCAGCGCGCTTCTGCCGCACAAGCACGGCTTCCTAGCACTGCTTCTCGCCAAGTGCAAAATGCAGGTCAGCCATATTTCACGTGCTTCTTCCGCGGTGCTTCCGGCTTTGTGTAGCCGCTCAATGGACGGCCCTGGATTCTTTTCTTTCCTCCGTTGTCCTTTGGTCTTCACAGCCTTTGACTGGACAAGCACGGTTTTCTTGGGCTCCTCCTTGCCGAATGCGAAGTGCAGGTCAGAAGGTAATATTGATCTCCTTCAATCTGCGGCTTGGACCTATCCGTCTAATGCTGTTTCCCTGTTCCTTTCTCGGCCTTCTTTTGGACTTGTTTCAACTTTCTTCTTCCGTTCTTCGACAATATTCACAATCCTTTAACGCACAAGCACGGCTCGCTAAGGCTGCTCCCTTTAAGTGGAAACTCCAGAGCCGTAGTTGTCACGTGCTTCTCGACTCTGCTTCTCTCTCTGCTTTTTCTGCTTTCCGAGGCCTTGTTTTTCTACTTCACCCTTCTCTTTCGTTCTTCGGTCATCAACACAACCGCTTACAAGCTTGAGCAAGGCTTTCTGTGGCTGCTTCGCGCCAAGTGCAGACCGCAGCTTAGCCTTAAACCACGTGCTTTTAGATTCTGCTTAGGTCTGCTTTTGCCTCTGCTTCTCCGGCGGTCGTTAGGCCTTTCTTTCGCGCTTCGCTCCTCCATCTGTCCTTCTATTGGACTTCCCGCCACATTTTGATCCGGCGACTCTGCCGTTTTAACGTTTTGCTCTTCTTTCGTTTCGCATTCTGATCGGAGTATTCTGATCGCGGTGACTGGAGCAAAAGCATACATCGTCAAAGGCGTTTCTTACCGAAACCTGCCGCTGAAGCAAGACGAATGTTCCTTTGTCGCCGGGGTACTGGCTTGCATTACTTGAATGCAGGGCCTGCGTTAATCTGCTTCCTTACGTCACTTTTTATCTTCATTCCTACTGTTTTGGGCCTCGACTCACTGCATTTCGTTTTTGGATTTAACGCAGGTGCACCCCCAGCGTGAAACCCTGACGCGGGAAGGCGAGACCGTGCGACAGCTGTGGATTTTGCGCGCCGGCCAGCTGGCGGTGTCGCGCTCGGTGGCCTTGAACGATCTTGACATCACCACGGCTGGGTAAGCAGGGGTTTTTGGAAAAGTTTGGGAGAATTTGAAGGTCTGTTATCAATTCCTGTAATCGCTGATTGACAGGGACTCCCGGACGAAGACACCAACCCCGACCAAAAGACGCGGCCGCTCGCCAGCTGGCCCGGCTGGCCAAGTAACAGACCTAGAAACCTCAGAAGGAAGTGATGTATGAAGTCAACCCCGACACTTAGGAAATCCTTCGACTCTCTAGAATGAGTGACGAGAATGCAACTTCAATTGAAGACATACCAAAAGGCGCCGACGCTTGCCAGATCCTGTTTGATTAACTAGCAGAACCTTGAAACCCTGTTAATCGTTGGTAACTGTTGTCAAACCCAGATCCTTCTCTTCTTTGTCTTTTTCAGAGTGAGTGGCGAGGACCCAACTTCAGAAAACGACACCTCAAGCGATCCAAAAGACGCTGACGCGCGCCAGCTGTCCTTGTTGACCAGCTATAAAGAAGCTAGAAACCCTGTAAATCGTCGGTCTTTTTTGCCAAACCCCGATTTCACAGGAAGTATTTCATTCCTTCCGTTACTTCAGAGAGTGAGCGACGAGCGAGTGACCCAACTGCTGGCGAAGACCCCCCCCGCGACCCAAAACCGCAAACGCACGCCAAAGTTATCAGAACCCAGATACACTGGTATGTTCTGAACTGACAGCGTCACCCCCAATCTCAGACAATTGGGCATTCTTCCCTCTTCTTCAGAGTGAGTGACGAGGAACCGTCAGATGAAGACACCCCCCACGACCCAAAAGACGCGGACGCGCGCCAGCTGTCCCAAATCGCCAGCTCCAAGCGCCCCGACCAGCGGTACCTCCGTCGGTTGCCTGCCTACAACTGGGCGGTGGACCTCGATCGGGGCGACCAGTCAGATAAGGCGCTGGTTACGGAGATGGCCGCCCCGGGCACTATTATCGGCGAGGCGCCGTTGGTGCTCGCGTTGGCGCAAAAGGTGCTGAAGGAGCGCTCGGCGAAGCACGCCGGGGCCAAGGGGAAGCGGAAGCTGGCGGTGAAGGTGGGCGTGTGATAATCACTGTTTTGTTTTCTTCCTAGTTGCTTCGACCGTGAAGAGTCGCGACTGTGCTGGGCGAAGCACGCCGGGGCCAAGTGGAAGAGGAGGCTTGGCGTTTGATGCGTACTGTACTCTATTCTTCTTAGTTGCTTCGACCTTAGAAAGTTGCAACTATGCTCGAGGAAGGCAGAACAAAAGGAACTGGCGGCAAAAGTGGGCGTTCGAAGGTTACTGTGTTCTTCCGTTCCTAGTTGCTTCGACCGTGAAAAAATGCGATTGTGCTGGGCGAAGCACGCGGGAGTTAAGGTGGAGAGGATGTTGGGCGGTAAAGCTGGGCGTTTCATGATTAATGAATTTCCCCGTTTCTAGTTGCTTCGACCTTAGAAAGTTGCGACTATCCTCGAGAAAGCAGGGCAGAAACTGGCGGTAAAGGTGGGTGCGTAATGATTCTCTGTTTTCTTCCAATTCTAGTTGCTTTGACCGTGAACAGTTCCAAGTATACTTGAGAAAACAGGCCAGGGGGAAGCTTCTTATATAACTGACGTTGTAATGCCTTATGGAGTCCTCTCGCCGTTCAAAAAGGCTTCGACCTGTGAGCAAAACAAGTGCTCTTTGAAAACGCAAAGCTGGAAGTAAGGGTAAGCGAAAGCTGGCAGTAGGAGTCTGCTCTCCCCGGAACAACTCTTGTTGCTTTCATCTATGGCCATTCGATGTGCTCATAGTCTCTTCGTTCCGACTTTTCCCAATAGGAGTAACGGAAATCAGAAAGACTCGATAAAGGTTTGGCCGTTTGAGGCCGCATCCTTCGCCAGGGTTGCTTGTGCTGACGCTGAGTTCAACATTGAGTTCGTCAGGTCGCGCCTCTCGTCAAAGCCGACAGATCGATTTTGCCGTCCACTGGTATGTCTCGAGACAGGCTCTGCAACGCGTTGCTATTTCACGTCGTTCTTCGATTGAGTCCGCACGCAGCCTTGTTTAGGATGAAGCATTCCCTCTCTCAGGTCGGAACGACGACGGAACGGACGGACGGAATGAGCCAGGGTCGGTGGTTGCTTTGTCGTCTTCGGCGGTGTGGCATACGATCGGAGCGAACGGTTCTGCCGGACTCTTCCGCCGCATCTGGTCGCCTTTCCGCCAACCTCTTATTTCCCTCAAAAGTCTAGACATTTTTTCTTGCAGGCAATAAAGCAAGACGTGACAGTGGAGTGCAAAGCGGAGTGCAGCGTGTTGGTGTTGCTGCTGGACGACCTTTTTGAGATACTGGACCAGTACCCCTCCCTGACTCACAAGCTGAAGAAGGCAATCATCCGGGCGGAGAGGCACACGAAAAGGAACGATACTACCTCTAGCTTCAACTTGCCGCGCGAAAGCGACGGATGATGGCCGGTCAAGCGAGTACCAATAGGTGATTTTTTCTGAGAGATCAGTCATTTACATGCAGGGAACCTCAGCTAGAGGCTCTGCAGAGTTGTATATAAGTAATTTTGATCGCTAAAAGAGCGAAGCGTTGCATGTTTGTATCGAAGTTATATGCCTATTTACCGTACTAAGATCTAGCGGATACGAACCCTGACTGAGTGTACTTAAGTATCGGGGCGCGAACGGAGCTAATGATTGTTTCAAACAATCGACTAAAATTTAAGCCTAAGTTAAATTCAACTCAACCACCCATGCATGTCCTATTCACCATATAAAACCTCATGGTGCTGCACCTCTGATCAGCTAGACAGCGAATCATTGACGAACGTACCACTTAGCCCGGCCGCGCCGTGTGCATCATGGCATGCCATGAATGATGCGGCCGGGCTAGTCGTACGGTATTGGCGTTTATTGACTATATAATGAACTATTTTCTTCGGGTGCGCGGGCCAATTTGCAAAGTTCATGCCATGCAGCTTGCGCCGAAGCCTTAATCATGTAACTCTTGCACACACCGCGGCGGCCAACTTGTGCAAGCTGGCACACATGCAAATGAGTGGCCCGGCCAGCCTTTGAAAAGCTTGAGAAAACATAAAAAAAAAACCCGTTGTGCCACATGCTTCTACTGTAGTTAATTGATTTTAAGTGCCACTTGCTGTTTGACAATATTTCAAGTCTCGTACCGAACATTCGCTCCCTTATCGGATGCAGTTTCAAAAGTTCATTCATCCGATCCGGCTAGGACTGCACGTGACTGGAGGCGTTGTCTGGTCGGAAAGATGTCGGATTCGCAGAACGATCCTATCATTCATTGAATCTTCCACATGCGAGCCGGAGAGAGGCGCTCTGATTTATAGCTAGTCACCTCACTGGCTTTGATCATGGTGCTCGGCGAACACGAGACGCGGCTGTGCGAATCATAAGAGACCGGACGACAGGCATCGCTTGCGCTTATAATACACGAAAATGATTGAAGGACGAATGATGAGCCATAACAGGCAATTCAGACATTGTGTGCGGCCGTCCCTGTCGCGGGAACTTGCATAAAGACACTGCATAATCTCCGCGGCGACACTGAACTCGGAGTCGCCGCCTTCAAAGACGCCGGCCGCGTGATAAGGTGTGCTTACCGATCCCTTCGAACCAAGTTTACGAGCTCCTGAAAAATGTCCGGAAAACCAACTCAAAGACGAAGAACTGGACGGCGCAGCCGGGAATTGCGCGCGCCAGGCACATCGACAGACCCCGGTACAGCTCGAAGAAACCGAGCTCGTGCTGCGTGACCTTCCAAACGCAGTCAGCGGAACCTCGGTACTTCGGCTGGATGAGCGAGTCGGTTTGGAGCCGCGTCTTGATCGCATCCAAGGGGTAGTTCACCTGAAGAAAGTGCGGAACGGATGCTCAGACCAGCCGGTCTTTGCGAAGGTTTTGGGGGTCTGGGCATATACGGTTCTAGATCTCCTACAAATCTTCCCTGTGCGAAGTCAGCGGAGCTTTGGTATTTCCCCCTAAGTTTTCTGACTTTTGGGAGAGTCCGCAGGCATGCCGTTTGGAGGCGCGTCTCGGTTGCAAACCGACGACTGATGCACTTGAAAGCATCCTTTTAGCAGGTGATCAGTTCCATTGAAACGGATGACTGGCGGCTTGAAGCGCGCGGGAATTACTTCCCGGTTCGCAGATTTGAGCGTCGTATGATAAGCTGGGCTCACCGTATAATACGCCATCCCCGCCAGGCTTCCCGCCGGCCATATGGCGAGCCAGCTCTCTCCGACGGGGTGCCCGTGTGCTGGGCCGTTCATATCGGCGGCTCCGAAGAACGAAAGAACGAGATCGTACGTAGAGAAGAGCGCCACGTTGCCGAGCATCTCTTTCGCCACCTGCTTAGAGTGTCGAGGAATGCGTCAGAGCTCAGGGTCAGGCGACTTCGCTGGGGAGAGTTTTGGAGTGCGCGGTTAACATAAGCTCTCGTCATTCTGAAGGTAAGATTTGCCCATGGACTCTTTGAGCGGTGGGCACCTCTTTGAGGGACTGACAAAATTTGCAATCTTTGCACTTTAACAATCATCAAGGATGTTGGATCGAGCGCGTTGGCGACCGATTCCCTAGAAGCGTCTGCTTTAAAGTCGCTCAGATGGCCACGTGCGTACTGAGCTGTCACCTAGTTACCTTGGTGTCTCCAAGATCGAGCCACGTCAAGTAAAGCCTTTTCGCACATCAAGCTTGCGCGTTCTGAAGCAAACGAATACCGTTCCGCTTAAAGCAACATCACAAGCGCACCTGAATGGGCCAACCCAAGTACAGTCCCCTCCACCCGTTTGCCCGGAGGATCTCTTTGGCGCACTCGATCACCCCCAGAGACTCCGATCGCGCCTTTGGATCCTCCTTTTCTGGACCAGCGTCCGCTACCATCTTGTCCGGATTTGAACCACCCAACTCAAGGAGCCGGACGTCCTCATCTTCCGACGAAACGCAGGCAACCTGCAAGTGGAATGAGAACCTATCCGTCTCGTGGATATAAGGTGTAAGGTTACAGCTGTAAAAGATTCGGCTTTTGTTTGTCCGGCCGCAAAAGTAGGTTAGGCGAAAGCATTTCCTCGTTATCGAGCGACGAGAAACACATCCCGTAACGGCTAGGAGATCAAATTTTCTTCAGGCAAGAGCCTTGCTTTTCCTTGGCTTAAGCCGACTGAAAGTTCCCTGTCCTCAGTTTCGAATAAAGCGCCGCTGCCTGCAAGGGGAAGCAGACGTCAGACTTGTCTCCACAAAGGAGGAAAAGCTATTGATCATTGGAGCTTATACGGCTGGAAAGCCCTTATCGATGACGAGCAGGAATCAGCAGCACAATTTCTGATGGCAAAGAGGCTGTTATTTGCTCCCTTCTCCAAGCCCGGAAAGCATTGGAGAGGTCGCTTCTCCAACCCCAAAAAGTATTGGAAAGGTTATGATTGGTGTATCTGGATAGTTTTCTTCCAGATCAAAACACATTCAGTGCCTTTCGAATCCATTGGGGGATGCTATAGCCGTCTGGATCTCTCCGGAACCGAGCATTCAGGACCCCTCATTCCTACGCAAAGCGCCCTAGCCGCTTCTGGGACGCAGCTTCTTGGATGCAAGCTTGCCTCAAGGAAAACCCCAGCGAAAGGACCGCGCTTCTAGTTCACTATAGAATGTTTGCAGAGGAACGCAATCTTCGCTTGGGGTTTGCTTGATGGGCTTACTTGTAGTCTCGCTTTCAGATGGTCCAACGGACAATAGATGATGCTCTCCCCGAGTCCGATGAGACAGCACGACAGAACTAGCGCGGGCGGGTTTTGGAGCGTCGCGTTCAGATGCTCTCGCAACCAGTCACGGGCCCCGTACAGGAAAGCCACACCTAGAGCTTCCTGCGAGAAGGACACTATACACCATTTGTCGGGGCGTTTGATAGAGAATTTCGGTGAAGCGTGCAAGAAGTCTTTGTTGAGCTATACAAACACAGAAAAGGCAGACCCATCTGATGCTTCTTTACCGTGTTACATGCAGACGCAACCCTTCATTCAATCAGATCTCCAGAAGTCAGGTGCCAATATCGCAAACAAGCGGGATCGTGCTACGAGTGCGGCACTCTTCTCTATTTCCTTAGACGGTTTTATTGAGCACGTTTTCTCTTTCTATCGGACGGTCCAACGAGAAGGGTGTCGTGATTCTTACCTGCACCAAAGGCGGAGTTACGCCCCGGTAAAAGCCGAGAATGCCCTCCGTTTTAAACTTCGAAACGACGCAATCCCAGGGGCCCCTGTAAGTGAGGCCTTCTACCCCGTCTTTTGACGCGGCCTGCAGCCGTGTCTTCACAGTGTCAAAAGGAAAGCCTGCAAGCAATAAATCCTGGTCCGGGCAGGCATTAGGAATTTGGAGTTTTACGCGTGAAGGTGATGGTACGGACCAGTGGGCTGTCACCGAATCAATCAGTGTTGGCACAGTGAGTGCTATGTTGCGACTGCAAGCATCAGAAAATCGTTATGCCTAGAAAGAAAATGATGCCCATAACCCAGCTTTAAACCTCTTACCTACGATCGTTTCGCATATGCCCGCCAGGCATCCTGCGAGAAGACTTATCCATGCATAGTCTTTCATCGCAGCTGTAGGCGGTCCAACGATACCGTAGGCTTCTGGCCACAGGGGCTTGAACTCCGATTTTCTCAAAATTGTGTGACTGCAAGTGGAGTGCAAGCAATCATCAAAGCAGTCTTTGGGCGTGAGTCCAGATATCAAGTTGTGTTCCAATTTTCAGTTGACTAAGGTGATTAGTAAGCCCAGTGAGATTTGGTTAAGATGCGAGCGCGCCGTGGTGCGGAAACCCTCAGTTTAGGGTTTTGTGGGTTGGGTTCTTGCAGTCCACCAGATTGCAACAGACGCATTGTGATCTAGGCCAAGTTATGATACCAGCAACACAGCATTGAAACCCGGGTTCCAATCGGTCTTTTATGTTAGCTTCTCCGCAGACTCTTTTGTTGTATGAGATTATTTGATTCTGCCTGTTTTCTAAGATTTGCGCATAAGGACCAATAACCCTTTGGACAACAAAGCTGAAGGCAGCAATCCAGATCGATTGAATGCTCTATCCATATATGGTCTCTCATTGTTCCAGAAGAGATCTTTATTGTCTCATTTGAACGCTCCTTTATGTACCCACTTTTTCCTACATTTCCTCCAGTACAAGCGCACCCAGCAGTAGAGAACTGGTATAAGTGAATCCTCACCTCCAATCCAAAGTACTAGACTGCTTGAGAGCTGGGACTCTTCTGCGTTGAGCACAAGATGACCTACATCGTTGACTTGTACACCATTTTGCTGATATAAATACCTCTGAATCAAGGGTTTGACAACTTTTTCAATATGGCCACTCGCCCATCCCGCTCATTCCGGAAAGAACAGCTCATTGAAAATCCGAAGCAGCTCTCTCGTTAGCTGGTCAACCTGAAGGCCGATCCACAAACATCTGTATATCAAAGCACCGCCACCCTTGCATTAGCAGCCCACCCTAGTTTTGGTACCTCAGCAGATACTTACCAGGGAGTGAATACTTGTCATACACCGAGTAAGAACACCAATATTGCCAGGCGGACTCACTAGCCGCTCTCCCGTGACTCATTGAACGAAGCTACTGCAGCCCTTTTGCAGAACACCTTCAAGCATTTTCCGACGCTTTCTTCTGAACTGCTCAGGATCGTACAACATTCACGTGGACTCAGTTCGAGCTGGGGTCGAGCTGGTATGTGGGCGCGGTTTAGGCACTCTTATCGACTGGGCCCGTGGTCAGTTGGAATCCGTTGACTCGCTCCAGCAGAAATGTCTTAGCCTCGATGGAGCTGGCTGTTGTAATGTGTGTTGGTTGCTTGAGATGCGACTTCCGCAACTACGTGATCGATAAATGTACGTTAGTTACAATGAGAGCGAGATTAGTGCTGATTCGTGAGGAACTTTTCTGGAACCTATCAATGTGCAGAGTGTCCCATCCACTTGAAGGAACTTGAATCTACTTCCATCATACCAAATACGGTACTGGCATTAATCTCCGCAATCAAAGCAGTAAATCTACCATAAGTTTGTGCAGCTGCCTTGCTCGGTGAGCGGAAGTAGGTAGTTTTAATAGTACCTATCCTAGTATGTATCTACGAGTGACTATAGGACCTAGTAGGTACTACCGTGATACTGGCAAGCCCCTCCGGGCTCCCCTCCACAGAGTCCCCTGTAGGTAAGTTCCGAACTCCTCGGGCGCCGCTGCCAGCTGGTCGTTACTTACGTCAGCCTTACCTAAGCACGATACCCGTCAATCATGAGCTTGGGCTGCAATGATGGAAAGGATGTGGACAGGCCGAGAGGAGATCTAATGTCCGTGGCGGCACTTGAAAGTACCCTGAAAGAGACGCATGAATTTATCATTTCAAATCCGCACTTTGGTGCTTGTGAAGTTGTGACCTTGACTTCAATAACGGTAAATCTTCAACTTTTCAGACTTCATACAAGTTCATAGAGCTTGGATCCAAAAGTACCCAGTAAATTATTTGCCAGCGCGTCGTTTCCCATTCCTCCGTTTGTCGTTAATCAAATTAATTCGCCAAACTTTCATCGAGCATGCTTCCTAAGTACTTGCCGCCTGAATCGGGCCGCGGCCGCCCGTTGAAGACAACCGAGAACTCTGATAACTGGATACATCAACAGGCCCTAACCGCACTTAATTGGCGCTCGGGGATGGGTTGGGTTAGACTCTTGATTAGAGCGGGTCAAGGTTCGGAGCGCGTTGGGTATTCTGGGGTTAGTAATCTAGGTACCGTAGTCCCGGCACACAAGTGTTCAAGAACAGAAGGGTTTACAAATTACCAGTATCTTGAAGCTAGAGGGACGTACCGGTGCCTGCTGCGACTGGTCAAGTGCCGACGTCACTCGGTACCCACCGGCGACCGGCGCGATTCTACAGCGTTCGACACCGAGGTTTTATTATTTTGTCGGCCCCAGGCGGGGCCAGGCCGATAGTTCTCCGGTCGGTCGGCTGGCTCTTTGAACCGGTCGGCTTGTGTCAGCCAAACGCCCCATAAGACCCTGATTCTACAGACTACAGCTGTCGACAGCTGTCGGCTTTTCGGCCGACGCCCCTCGATTGCGTCGGCCGGGTGGCAATGATCCCGTCGGCTGACATGTGCCTGGACAGCTCGTGTCGAACACTGTCGGCGAAAGGCAATAATTGCATGGCCGGTAGCCGGAGATCTTGATCGAGAGCCCCAGAATTGGCATCAAGGTTCCTGGTCGGAGGCCATTTTGTGGTCTACGGCTTCCTAGCGTTGCTTGTGCTTGTGCTGGCTTTGGCCAACTCCCGTAGTCCAACGTGGTGATTCCGAACGCTTTTATTTCGAATTATTTTCCAACAATCCGAACAGGGAAGAGAAATTATTTATGCCGATTCCGACAAGAATCCGAAGGCCCAATGGTCCACTACTGGGAAGGGGAGTTTTTGGCTGTTTTTGGCAGTTTTTAACGGCTTCCGAGGACCATTTCAGGATTATTTCCGAACCTTTCCGAATTTCCACTTTCCGAATGGGAAATCCGAATGCAAATAACTATTTATTTATTCGGAATCATTACTTTGGACTACGGACGAGCAACGGTAGACGAGCGGACCAGCTCGACTCGTTCCTGGCCAGGCCTACATGGGTGCGCCAGAAGGGCGGCAGGTAGTAGGTACGTATACGAGATGCATCGAGATCTGGACTTTTGTGGGTAGATGCTTGATGGCCGTTGCACTGATCTGAGCTCCAATCTTGATGGAGAGGCGGTGCTGCTACCGGTACAAGAGCAATACCTTGATATTGTTGACGCAATTCTACAAGAGTTGTGATAACACCTGTGAAGGAACCTCTATAAAAGTGGACAGGCCTAAGAAGTAATTGCGCCATGAAGCAGCTGGTTGCAACCCTTCCCAAATAAATAAGGGCCCCTTCCGACCCTTCAGCCATAACTAAGCTGTATATAGCTGCGGGCAAAATGGCTCACTCCTACATTCAAAAAGACTCTCAACGACTAGCTTTTACCCTTGACAACAGTTCAAGCGCCCTGTCAATTGATCAGCACTGCTCTAACGTTGACAAGAGATTCTGGCAACTGTATATATGCGAGGATGTCAAGCTGGGGAGAAGACTCGTCATAACTTGCAGCCAGCAGATCTTTCCATGCCCTAGCCCCAGCTCAAACCAGAGTCAGCTCAGCGAAACTTCCCTCCCAGCCCCTCACAATTCTTTCCGACTGCAAACGTCTCTATTCTCCCCCATTCTTACCGAATGGCTGAGCCTCTTTCCGCTATCCTGTTCCAAGCGAACCCCGTACTCCTCGGGGCTTCTCTACTGGGCACGTTCCTGGCCGTTCTAGTTGTTTGCAATGTCGCAAGTCAGTACGCAAAGTTTTTCACCACCGTAGGGATCCCTCCGGGCCCGACGCCATGGCCGCTTGTGAGCAGTCTGGGGGGACTCCTGGTGTCGCCGCAGCATTTTGACGAGTGGTCTCTGAAAATGGTGAGCCAAGCTCGTCTTTGTGTCTACTCTAAAAGGCATTTGCTACAGGCACACTTTCAAATCTTGGTGCAGTGAGATTGGGTATGCAAGCTCATCTTTGTGTCCCTTTGCAGAGTATTCCACGGCAGCACTTTCCAGCCTTGGTGGCTGGAAATGGTACTCAATGAGCCTACTCTGGAGCTATCCCTTTGAAGTTCTGACATCTGGTAGTCATCCCAGTCGAGTAACTCGACTCTCTACGTTGATGTGGGGTATCTCAATCTGCTGAAACACTCTGTATGAATCGAGTACAGTGGCCCTTTCGTTTTGAAGCATCCCAGTCTCTGCTGATGACTTGAAGTGGCCTCACGGTCACGGAATCCTGACAGATCTGAAAGGCAGTTGCAACACAAGCCAATAGTATTATCTAGAGCAATGCTGAATAAGAGTATGGCTGGATGTCCTAAATCCTTGCTGGTTCAAGGAAGCCCTCTGGAGCCCTGTCTTACATGGTATTCTGCATGAAAACTCCTACTGTGGCTCATTGGAAATATAGAGGCGTTAGGGGAAGCGGAAGGAGCGTGGGCTCTTGATGAATTGTGAAAGAAGGTGGAGACTTGATTACAAAGTTGGAAATCGTTTTTGGCTTTCGCTGGATACTTGCCCTGCTTGACTTTCTATCTGGAAGTTTTTGAGGGTCCTGATAACGAGCCAATCTGTCTTGAGCAAGCTGCCCTTAGAAAGCATCAGATTTCGAATGAAATACTTATCTGGCCTCTTACGGTACTGAGTAGGCCCAGCAACTAGTCGAGTTCAGTCTGGTTTGCGTTTCAAAGACTTTACCTGCGGCGCCATTTGCAACAGTGTCTATGGAAGACGAGAATACTGGAACTTAGATAGACAGTGACAAGCTCTAGGATCTACTAGCGGTGTCGTACATGTCTTAGCTGGCTGGGGCAAAAGCTTCATTGTTGTTTTCGAAACAAAGCTTGCTGAGGCTCTTCAGGTCAAGACTTTTTGCGTCTAGGTTTAGACTATCACAAATCCACATTGCCCTCACAATAACAACACTTGGAGAGAAGGTCAGCCTAAATGTGATTCATCAGTCTATCAATGTCGTGGGAAGCAGAGAGTCCGAAGACGTTTGTCTTTGTACCCACTTCAAGTACCTACCCACAAACGGACGAGTCTCGACTTACGTACAGCAAAGAAGTCCCAAGCATAATTTTGGTGACCGTCTGCTGTACAGGGAAGGCTTTACGGCGGCGTCTTCAGCATTTGGAATGGAGGCGAGCTTGTCATCTGTGCCACCTCCCAGGAAGCGATCAAGGAGGTGCTCTTCACAAAGGTATGAGAGGATTTTTCTGGAATTTCTGAGGATGTCAATTGGTTCGATATCAGAGGGCTTTGATGACTGGGAGCTTGCGATGCAGGCCGCTCTGAAAGGCGAGTTCTCAAGAGCCAATACTGAGTGCTTCACGGAACTTCGCATAAGTTGACTGTGCTGGACGCTGTTGAATTTGCTAGGAATTCATGAACCGCTACTGATTTGTCAGGTAAGGATCCGTAGTCTTAAGTACCATGTACACTTTTTTCTCTGCTTTCCGAGCTACTCCGAAGGAAACATGTGCAGCCCCCCGAGAAATAGCGCAGAACTTTTGCTATGCTTTACTACGCTCACGCTGGGTTCCTCTTTGCATGACGCAGGACAAGGACTTCGCGTCTCGCCCGCCCGTGTCTGATCGGGTGGCCTACACGGTTGGTTCAAAGAGCATCGAGATGGCACCGTATGGAGACTACTGGCGACAGTAAGTTCGGTGTCTTTCTCTTCTTAACGTCTGCACTGTACGGCTACTGTACGATGAAAGCAAACCGTTTCTTTAGTAGACATAGGGGCAAGCTCCTCAAAGGCGCTTGATTTTGAGGATTCTGGGCACCTAGAACAAAGCATACATGTGAAGCTAGATGGCGTTTCTCTGCATCGTAGTCGGCCCCTACTTTCATGTCAAGAACAAACGAGCGAATTGCCCCTGCTTCATCTTGGGGCCGGGTCACCGTTGCGCTGCTTCCGACGCTATGTTTCCTTGGAAGAAACTGAGTCTCTTCAGAGGCGAGAGTCAAAGCCATGAATTCCTCGTACAGGTTGGGCTGGCTCAGCTGGTGCTCCAGCCGGAACGCCATCTGACATCGAGCGCCTCCTTTGAAAACGCCTCTCAATACTTGTCTTCGGGTTTAATCGCTCAAAGTGACCCCCGGGTTTACGCCACAGAACGTACTGACGGTTTTTACTCGTACTGAAGCTGTCGCTCGCCCACCTATCGTTGTTTGACTTGGAGCGCTGTCCATTTTGATACCTTTAACGACTTTCTTTCCGCCGCTCAAAGTGAACCCCGGTCTCACCTCACGAAAGTATTCACTAATCTTTCCAATGCTTCTCCCAGGGTACGAAAGCTGTCGGTCGTCCACCTATTCTCCCACAAGGCGGTGGCTGGAAACACGGTCGTCCGACAAGAGGAGACGGAGGCTTTAATCTGCAACTTGAAGCGAGAGTGCGCCGAGAAAGGCGGCTTCGTCGAGCCACGGAATCACGTTGCCCGGTAAGGAACCCACGAAAAACCTATCCTCCAACTGGGTTGATTCGAAACAAGGTTGCTCTTCGCATAAAGCCCGCTTGCAAAACGCTTGGGGCTTAAGCATTGGAATGCGTTCTATCAACTTCTCAGTGCACAATTGGGAAGAAAGCGAGACTCACGGAAACGAGCGAGTAAACAAGCAATCCGATTCTCTCGATTCAAGCCAAAACTCGAGCTCTCTCAGCTGGCGCTTGCACGTTTCCGGGGGTCAAGACCTAGACTCCGTTTCTATCTCAAATCATTCCCCCTGAATTAGAACTGCTCCTTCTTCCAGAGCCATGCTCAACACCATGATGCGACCGCTTTTTGGCGTCCGCTTTGGAGCGCCCGGGGAGTGCGGATTCACACCGACCGGCGAGGCCTTGTACGAGTGCCTCCAGGAGAGCTTCCACCAACTGGGGGGCTTCGACTGGGGCGCTTTTCTCCCCCGGGTGCTCGAGCCGCTGTTCAACCGGGACGTCAGAAAAACCGCCGCGATGAGGGACCGGTGAGCAGAGTGCCCCAAGATTTCCTAACCTGGAGTTGTAAGGTGAAGGCGGTTATGATTGATTTCATTGAGAAAGTAGGCCTCGGCTTTGACACGCGGGGGAAAGGGAAGAAGTTTCTAACGACGACTCCAATGTGCATACTCCCTGGTCTAGAGGAACGTGGCAGCTTTGAAGTATTTCCGAGCACAGGAAAAATGGCAGGATGAGACAGATCTCTATCCGGAGCCGTTCACTAATCTTCCGCATCCAATGTCGTACACGTCAAAGATCGAGTTCCGAGTTCAAACATCGTTCCAAGTACTTTGTCTTTCTTTGAGTCTCATTTTTATACCTGAGTTTTGCAGAGAACTCCAAGCGATCATCGACGCGCGGCGCGCAGCGAAGAAGTTGGCTGGACCGGCGTTCGTCCCTACGACAGTGGTAGACGTCCTTCTTTCTGCTTCCAACAACAAGGAGCAAGAAGTCGCCCAAGAACCTCTGCCGTTTCTGCTTGACTTGCTCAACGGAGGTAAGTCAGCGGCACCAAGCATCGGGACTTCGGATAACTTTTGAAGCTGCAGCAGAACAAAAACGTAGCCGATACAAACCCAGTACGTCTATTGATATTTAGCTTCGTTTAGATCGTAGGATCCTTTGCTGAAGCTAAGAATGCTGAAGCTAAGTTTGCTTTGCTGAAGCTAAGAATGCTGAAAAGGAACGTCGAATCGATTGTATTGGTGCACTGAAAATCTGTGATACGCGCGTGTTGGTCACGAAACACCGCGTGGGCTGACTCCATTGGTCACCTAGCGACCCCTGATCAGAACGGCAATGCCGGAAAACCCCTCAAGATTTTTGAGACTGCTGCAATTCACACGCGGTGGTACGCGCTTCCTTTTTTCCAGAAAAGCACGTGGTCTGTGGATTTCGGAATCCCACCTTGCGCATTTCCTGACGGGGCGGCCGCAAATCGTTTGCAGCGGTCGACACAAGCGGCGTCTCCATCGAGTGGATCCTGGCGGAAATCACCAGGCGGCCGGCGATCCGGCGCAGACTGCACGCGGAGATTGACGAAGTGGTCGGTAGAGACCGACCGGTTTGCGAGGAGGACTTAAAAAACATGCCGTATCTGCGAGCGGGTAAGGCCGATTCGGATAGTTCACCGACACGTGGCAGGTGGAAGAAGAATATTCTTGATCGGAAGCAGACTCTGGGCCGTTCGATGAATCAAGCTTCTAGCAATCTGAGGCTCAGCTTAAGAGAAAATAGCGGTTTGGAGTGCACTTGCTGCTTTTCCTCGACTATCGATGCGCACCGGCTTTGCTTCGTGTCGAACGGAAGAGCAGTACAGTAGCCAACTCAAGCCCATTCTGAAAAAGGAGTTTTGTATTACGCGGAGTCTTGTATAATTCAGTTTTGGGGCTGAAGACGATCGTGTCGAGGAACTACGTAGCGAGCTCTTCCCTCGGTCATTTTGTCTTGAGGGACGGTTCGTTGGTTTCAAACCCATTGAATGCTTATTTAAACCATGAGCATCTACTATCTACAGAGCGTCCGCTCGTGCTTAGCTCTTTGTATCCTTCTTTACAGTGGTCAAAGAACACTTCCGGTTCCAAGGCGTGGGACCTTTTCTGGTACCGCACATGAACGAGCACGAGTCCGACGATCCTGGGCTACAGGGTACCAGCAAAGACCACGGTACGTACTGGCCAGCGTGTCAACAACAGATCCGGTGGTTCTCGACCTCATAAACATGAAAGAAGATTATATAAGTTCCAAATCACGACGGTTTGGAAAGTGAAGCGTCGTCTTTTGAAGATGACGCCCGTCAATCAAAATTTCAAGCGCAGCTTTGATGCTAACAGCACCAGGGAAACTCCTGGGTAAGCGTAGGGCTTAGTTAAAGGGAACTGAACATGTTTTGGTGAGTGGCTGTGTTTGGAATGCTGCTGATCCGGAGACGAACGTCTTTCAAACTATGCCCAAAAACCCGATCAAGTGGTTAGAGATGGTTTCGTTTTCACCGGCAGATGCTCCTTCACACCGGGGGCATCGCGGACCTAAGTAACCATTACTCTCGTTGGAACGCTCAATTAAGAATCAAGAGTGACGTGGTCTGCACTCAGCCCAGTTACTCTTACCCCCATACCTACGTTCATTTTTCCACTGGCAGGTGTTGCTTCACACCCCGGGCATTTTGCTGGCCTTTTTAGTTACCCAAGTACTTGAAGTAGGAACCCGATATCAAAAAATTAACCAGATTATTTCCCCCAACCCCCATATTGACGTTCAATTTTGCGCTGGCAGGTGCTGCTTCACACCCGGGGCACCTCGCTAACCTAAGAAACCAGATTAACCTAATCGAAACCCCTAAATCAATCAAGATTGACGTGCACTGCACCTATCCGTCTCAATTTTACCGTACTGACGTCGAATTTCCCCACTGGCAGGTGTTGCTTCACACCCGGGGCATCTCGCGTGACCCGGCGGTCTTCCCCCGGGCGGACGAATTTCTACCGGAGCGGTTCTTGGAAGACGACGTCGACATCACTGGAAAGGACATCCGGGTACTGCCGTTCGGCGCCGGTGAGCGTTTTGCCAAGCTTGACCAGTCAGGTTAAGCGGTGCTCACAAGGGGGTTTGGCCGTTATGATTATGGGCTGGTTAAGAAGTGGTTGAATATGTCCAATAACGCCAGAGTTGGGCGGTAACCAGCTTTGGAGCAAGGTCAAATACCGGGTATGTGACCATGAACCGGGACTCAATTGTGCTTATTAGCCACTACTTGGCAGCCACAACTTCCTGTGGGTTCAAGTATTCCGGATGAGCCTGCACAACAATCTGCAAACCAGTAGGTTAAGGGCCGTGTTAGCGGTAATTTCCCGAGAACGCACCCCACGATTGTGCACTGCCAGATCGGAGCATCTGATTGAGAGCGTTTCCGAGGTGCATTGTAACGAAGGTTCAGCTTGAGCCTTTGGAATTGTGCTCGCAGGATTTGTATGTAAGCTGGAGTGTGAAAAGCCACCGTTTTGTTTGCAGGTCGAAGAGGCTGTCCCGGCGCCAACCAAGGCCTGCTCATCATCCAACTTGCGATCGGACGCATACTGCAAAGTAAGCTTAGCTGCCCAATCGCCGCAAAACGGATCGAAGATCGAGATCTCCGACAGTAGGTCGAGGAATTTAGACGTCGGTCTAGTCTCTCACTGTTGGGTCCTCCGTTCCATTTGTGTGCTTGAAGGATTCCTCGATTTTCGCTTTAGAATGTTTTTAGCCATGGCAATTTAGATTCACGTCTTCTTTTACAAAAAGAGACGGACAGTTGGGCACTACCTTTCTCAATCCTGTAACGGTTGGGGAACACGTTTCCTTCTTGGCTCAGTTTCTCAACGTCTTCTTCCCAGTTTGTCAAAGCTAGCAAAAGAGAAGCAGAGTGGAAGGGCCAAGAGCGGTATTGACTGAATCAGGCCGGCATTACCAGACCTCCAACTTCGCTTTCCACGTAGGATGATGTTGATTATCCTCGATGAAGAAAGTGTGAAAGGCCACACTTACCATTTCGATGCGTCATCTCTAAGGTTTTCCACTTTCCCCTCGAGCCTTGTGCTTTTTGATCTCTTATGGCCCGAACAACTTCTCCGCGGTGGAACATCTACTGTAGTCTAAGATGCTAGGCTTGACCTGGCCCGCGGTTGATGTTTCTGGCGACCCATCTCCGTCGACCGTTCATTCTTGCAGCTTTCGATGTCGAGCTTATCGACGGCCAGGACATCAGCCTGGAGGAAGAGAGTTCGGGCTGGGCGTTGGCGCTCAAGACACCGCTGAGGGTCAAGTGCACACTACGAGTATGAAAACGCACATTCATCGACGGCAACAAGATACTTACGTGGGAATCAAGGTGTGGGAATGAGTTTCCAATATTTGCAGTCAAGCTATGGAGAAACGTGTAGGACCTACCAAAGCTAACATAACAACTAGCCGGACAGTGAGGATTTTTGGATTGACCTTCTGCAGCCATATATGCTTTTGGCGCTAAGCGCAAGTTACATCTGGTACCTCGCCCGGGTAACCATACAAAGGTTTCGTGGCAAGCTGCATAACGACCTGTAAACTCACGAGTGAGACACGTAGAAGCCCAGCGAAGATACGGCTGAGTGCCTGAATCAAGCGGACTGAAGTCATGCATTTGGGCAGGCGCTGCGGGGGTTCCTACTGGTGGAGATCAATAACAAAATCAGGCCGTTTTCCGCAATCTATCTAGATCCCATCCGACTCTTGTGTAGCACAGTTACTAAAAGAAACTTTTCACTATTAGAAGTTAGTTCAAGTGATTGTAGACACACGCATGCTTACTAAAGCATGAAAGTACCCTTTTGCAGCCAATGACGATCGGATTTACAAAAGACATAGAATTGGCCGGGGCCGTCGCGCAGCACGCGCTACTGGCCCCGCACGTACTAGCATATATGTGATTGAGCCTGTGCTGGCGGCACTGAGCTATACCGTCAGTGCATGATGAAACGGCGCGCAATCATAAACTGCAATCTTCGTTACGAGAATTGCGCAGTAAATCATACACTCACGTTATTGATCCGGCGTACGTACGTACTAAATCTCCAAGCCTCTAGCAGTATACACCGTCTGCACAGCAATCTGATCATATTTGTATCGTTCATCATGATTGTATCCTGGCGCTAGCAAGATGTAAGCTGCGGACACACATGCCGGTCGCTTACATCTTTTGAGTACGTTTAGGTTCCGACGCGCAGACTGTGTTTAGACACGCATGCGCATGGTGCCAGCGGCCATGACAGTGCCACACCGTAAGTCTGCAAGAGTACGCATGTCAAAATTGGGTACCTACTATATGGACTCGAGAAATATAAGCTAGAAGCTAATGAACGCTTTGATGGGCGGCATGTATATAAAATCAAAGGCCCCTATACTATTGCATATACATAAATCCTCGAACTTAGCGTCCAACTTAGTAATTGGTGCGTCCGGCCAATCATTGTCGCGCATGATGTGTGATGCAGCTTGCAACAATATATGCTCAACGGGTTCAAACTTTTATTCTACAGTCCCGGAGTCCGAGCCTAGCTCCGCTGACGACCATGCATCGACCCAAACCGTCAGGCTGCCCAGCAGACTGAGAGACCTTCAATACTAAGTCTTAACACAACCGGGTAGAAACATTACGTATTACTTGGCAAGGACGTTGAACGACCGGTAGACAAACTTTAGACCGGTGATCATTGCTTTGAATTTACCTTTGTTAATCTTGTGTCTGCGCACTAAAATCCGGTTGAGTATTCCTGTCACAGTGTGAGCTGCCTTGTTCGGTGAAGCTGTGTCAATGTATAGTGTATGCTATCGACAGTACTCAAATCATGCCCGTACTGACCTACAGAAGCTTTTCCGAAACATATCACATGTCTCTAAAGTCTTGATTGCTTTCAGATGGGAATTGGGTCACTCACGCAAGTTGATATTCGCTACTCTTCAAAAACACAACTTAGCGCAGCGTTCAGGCGCAAACAGCGGAAGCCCCATACCACATACGATCATTCACTACCAATGAACTCGTGCAGCAGCTCCTTCAACTTCTTGGGATTCAAGGGCTGCAAAGAGAAGCAAGTTTAAGCTTGAGAAACACTAACGCAAGAAGAAGGCTGGACATGTTGCATTAGATGCTGAAGCCCAGTCAGGGCTTTTTCTCACAACGGGAATGCTTGCCCCTTACACAAAGCAATGAGACAGAACTTGAGACCCTACAAACAAGTGAAGCCGCATGCTTGACGTTGAGATAGACACTTGCGCGGAATCATGAATCACTATCAGGTTGCTGCTACGTAGTATTTTAAGATCCAATGTCCTGCGGTCGTCCTACTGAAGCAGTCCGACTCTGCCGCGAGTTCCTCCGCGCGCATGTGCCCAGCTCTGGCTCCCGTCCCTCAACCACATGGGTTGATGGGCATACACTGCTTTTCCGGACTTTCCAATGATTAAAAGATGAGCTTTCCACTCAAAACTGGAAAAGGAAAGAGTCTTCAGTGACAAGTTTTTGAGTTCCGTGAAGTCAAGAGTTCTGACTTTCAAGGCTTCAGGTTTTTTTGGGTTCAGGGTTCCGGGTTAGGGCTTTCAAGGCTTCAGGTTTTTTGGGTTCAGGGTTGCGGGTTAGGGACTACCTTGGGCAAGTAGCCGTCCATGCCGGCCTTGAGGCACTCCTCCTTGGTCCCGCTCATGACGTCAGCAGTGAGCGCCAGTATGGGCAGCTTCCGCCTGGGAGCGCCAAGCGCCTCGTTCTCCGCTATGATCTCGCGTATCTTCTGGGTCGCCTCGAACCCGTCCATTTCCTGAGACACGCCAAATTGCAAGAGCCGTCAGTATGAAATATTCTAGGCCTCTGCAGGTCATTCGCATAGCAGAACACTATTCTTGCACTACAAGGTATATCGACGCCAGCACTGTAAGCTCATCCGCCAGTGGTCACAGACCCTCTAAGCAAAATACGTCGCTTCGTTTCCCGCCGATTCCAGGCACTCGAAAGCTAGCGGCTGTATCATGATATGCTACATTGCGGGAGTGTGGATAAAGTTCCACAGTGCAAGCCGGCAATCATTCCAAGAGAGAGGTTCAGCGAAGTTCAAGAAGCGTGGAAAGAGATCTAAGTTTTGCCTAACAAACCCAACACCTTGAAAACAGTGCCTGCGCAAGACCCCAGTTGAACTCACCGGCATTTGTACGTCCATGAGAATGAGGTCCAGCGAGCCCTGCTCTCGCCGGAAGATGTCAATCGCCTCTTGACCGCTTGCTGCCGTCAGCACCTGGAGAACCATTGAGAATGGCAGGTTACGGATTGGAAGCTGATAAAGCTGGTTTTTTTCCGACGCCTTCGCATAATGTTCAAACACATGTTCCGGGACTTTAGGGCGTTCTCTGGACCTGCCGAGATTTGGACTGTTTGAATGGTAACCCTCAGAGGACGAGTCCAGAGTGCTGGCCCTGACCCCAAAAAGATTCGAAGATTGTGCACGAGCTGGTACACTGTTGTACACTGTTGTACAGTATTGTACACGATCCGTCGGAGCGCTCATTGTGCTTGACCTTTTCATCTGCAGTGAAAAGGCAGCCAATAAAGTGAGAGTCAAATTGAGGGGTAAGAGTTGCAGCGCAATTCATCAGCTGCGTCACACCTGCCATTGTGCAGGCACGACAAACCTCTCCGAACAGACGAAAGCTGCATACAAGTACGGGTCATCACCTGGCATTTGAACGCCGCAATCATTCTCGAGGCCACTTTGACGTTGATCGCCACGTCATCAACGACCAAAATTTTCTTTCCGTCCAGGGGGACGCTCCCTACGGGCGTGGACCCCCCGGATGTGGGGGTGGTTTCCTCCCCGGGTGGACTACGGGGCAAATCGGCCCCCTCGGGGTGCATTGCACCGTGGAGAACGGCTGCCAGGGCGCCTCGCCGTAATGGCTGTAGGACGATATATCAGGATTAGTCTCTAATATAGTTAGAAGAAAAGCAGATTTTGAAGAGACACTCGTGCTGGAACGGGTGGGTTTAATATTGGGGTTCAGGATGGGCAGGGATGCAGAGCGTGGGTTGCTTTCAACGGAAGACTTTGGGTTGCTGCAGACATTTGTCAGGCCTTAGACATCGGTGGGTTATGTGTTCTCCGTGACTCTCCGTTAATCCGTGACGATTATCCAAGTGAACTATACACATGGGGGAGACATTTGACAGTCAGAGGCTACCAAAGCAAGCAAGGACGCTGCCAACTTCAGACCTTCGGCCAACTCATGCTGCCTGCACTTTGTCTTCTTACCTTGAAAACCGGTCCCAGCAGCCCGACCGCCTTCGCTTCGTCACCCCTCCCGTTCTCCTGGTTGTGCGGCCCCCCCACGCACATGCCCACCACCAGCAACTCGCTTAACCGCGGGTCATCCTTAACCTGCTTCGCAAACTCCAGCGCCGATACCTTCCCGACGCAATCGACGTCTACCAGGACCACCCTAAACCGCCCCCCTTCCGCCGCGTCCTGCAGCGCCAGGCGGGCGTCTTCGTCTGGGGTGATGTCAGCGCTGACGTCAGCATCGGCGGGGGCCCGCCCGAACGGCTCCCGTCCGACTGGCAGGCCGTCCATAACGTCCCTGAACGTCGGCGTCGTGCTCTCGGGCACGCCTGCCCCACCGCTGAGACTAACCTGCTCGATTTCCGGGTTGGCGCCCAACCTGGCCGCCGAACCGGTTGCGTTAGAACCCGCACTCAAACCTCGCAGGTTAGCGCTGTTATTCTCGCTCGTACTCAGCTGGTTAGTGAAACCCGACTCGCTTACTCCGTTCTGCTCGGTTGCCCGCAGCGCCTTCTCCCCGGCGGCAATCACTTTCTCAATGTCCTTATCTTCTCCGGATTCGTCTCCCTCCTCCATGTTCCACAACTGCAGTGACGGCAACCGTCCCTGATCGGCGATCGGAGAGCTGACGGAGGCCCCACTCGAGCTCGAGCTTACGGATCCCCGACTCTCCAACCGCTGGTGCGATGCTTTCGTCGTAACAATGGCACTGGGACTGGATACGCCGTCTGCCTGGGACCGCTCTCGCGTGCCGCCGACGTTCGTTTCTCCCCCGACCTGCCCCGCACTGCTTTCGCTGTTCGTTTCCCGCGTCGATGTGCTCTCCGTCTCCCCACCCCCCTCCCGCTGACTGCCGGTGTCAAACCTGGCATTCCCTGGCGCAGGCCCGAAACCCCCCGCACCGGTCTCCTCGCTTTGCTCCCCCCCCGAGTCCAAAAGGTTCCCGGCGTCGCCTGGCGTGCTACTGATGCCGGACTTTGTGAGGCGGTGCCGCAAGACCCCGTACCCCCGGGGACTCGGAGAAGGGGACTCCCCGCGCGCCTTTTGGTCGGCGTCGAGAGTGTAAGCGGCGACCGCGAGCTCGAGCGCCTCGGTGCAGTTGCACACGCCGACCACGTGCATCTGCATGCGCTGCAGGATGCCCACGGCGACCTCCCGTCGTACCTGAGAATGATAGCAAGGATTCAGGCCTGAAGTTTCAAAAGGTGGACAATAACATCAGGTATCTCCTTGCAATAGGAGCCGAGCGTTTCAGGATTGAGACTTTTACAAAATCACTGCACATGCTGACTGCGAGCACCAGTATGCACTGCGGAGGGTCAGCAGAGACTCGTCAACGAACGTGGAATGAAGAAACGGCTAGGAACTCGAAGTTCTGGTGAAATCGTTACGTTGTAGGAAAAAAGGGGTAGGAAAGAAGCACAATAATCCATTGGACCGAGTGTGGGCGAAGTGCTAGCAACCTTTCTGATAATTGAACATGCATAACATGCAAACCAAAACCGCTTCGGACAAGCTCTTCTTCTGCTGTTCATTCTACACCACGGGGCGCACGCTGGTCAAAGTCGGCCAGCAAATCAGCACCTTGCCAAAACGAGGCCCAACTCACAGGCACGTGGCGCGTACAGCAACCCCCAAATACTTGAAAGCTCAGACACTTCTAAAGAATTCTGAACTTACGTCCTCGTCTTGAACCACAATCGCGCGTGCGCCCTCGAAATCGGACGGCGCTCTCGAGCTCTGTTGCCAATTGGTCCCATGGTTGGCGACAGGCGACTGCCCGCCGGAACTAGGGGTGGGGGGGGCGAGGTCAACGGCGGGCATGTGGACGTCGAACTGGAAGCTGGTGCCGACGTCGGTTTCGCTCCAGGCCATGACGGAACCACCCATGAGCGTGATCAGCCGTTCACTGGTGAGAAAGGGAAGGAGCGGTGAATAACTGGAGGGGCTCTTTCTGACTCTGACTCTGACTCTGACTCTGACTGAAAGGAAGGTAGCAGAAGCGAACACTCTTCACGTCGATCTTTGCAGGCCATGATGGAACCGCTCATGAAAGTGTTCAGCCAATCACTGGAGAGGGGGAGACAGGATGCAAGGTAGATTTCAAGGAACAAATAGAGGTTAAGAAGGAAGTGCCTTGAAGGGACTCTTGTAGAAACACCAACCCAAAAACGTGCTATGTCGGCATCGTATTGCATCTGCCACAGAGTCCTCGCCACAGAGTCCTTTCTATCTGAAAGGCCTAACGAGGACCTGATCAAGACCGGAGTCTCCTTCAGCGAAGCCGGCACCATCTGATTTGTTGCTGGAGGGGACATGAAACATTTCGAGAAAGACCATCGCTTTGCGGTAGGAGAAAGAGGAGTGTTTACCTGATGACAAGCCCGATTCCGGTTCCCCCAAACTTCCGGCTCGTACTGCTGTCCGCCTGCTGAAACGGCCGGAACAGCTTGCTCTGCACGTTCGGGGGCACACCCGGCCCAGTGTCCTCCACCCGGAAGAACACCCGCAGCTCCATATCCTCTTCTGGGAGGTCGCTCGCTGAGCCGTTCTCTCCCCCCCTGGTGCTCGCGTCCTTCTCGACTTCCCGCAGCCTCCCCTCAGGGGTCTCCTTCGTAGAGCCCATCTCGATATCCCGTCGCATCGAGTTCGAAGTGCGGTCGTAGATCTCAAAGCTTCTCCGCCGTGCCCGGCTCCGAGCCCCGTCGGAATCCTCCGTGCTCCCTGCGGGGGGGACGGTTTGCTTCTCGGGGGCCCGTCCCGCCTCCTCTCGCTCCCCCCCTTTCCGGAGCAGCGCCCCTTTCGTCAACCCGCTGAGCGTCATCTTCAACTTTTGAGAGAAGCTGGCGCTTCGCGCCGTTGTCTCCTCAGTCCTCCTGTCCTCTGTCCTCCGCTCCTCGGACGTGCTCGGTTCCTCACCGGCAGGGTCCGGTATACTGATCGTCACGTGCTTGAACCGTGAGCTACTCCCGAGCGCCGACGCCGACTTGAGGATCCCCCCCGGGTGCTCCCCAGGTTTGCTTGGCTCTGAAAACCGGGCGCTTCGGCCTAGTCTCAAGCTCCCAAACATGGAGCTTTTCGAGATCCGCCGCCCGTCATCTTCTCGGAAGCTGCCCCCAATCCCGGACGGCCCTGCTGCGGGCGCGACAAGAATGTTCGGGCTGCCGAATGCGAGCTTCGCGCGCCGGAGGGTCGCCCCCCGACCCCCTCCGGAAAGGTCGAGAACGTCCTTCGAGACCCAGGAAACCGCTGGCCCGGCACGGTCGCTTTCCGCCGTCGGGGGGGCGCTTTTCGGGAAATGGGCGGCCCAGACGCAAACGAAGACGCTGCCCTTTTGAGTGAACTGCGGACGAGAGGACGGACACCACGTCTGCTTTTGTTGAGCCTTCATCAGAAGTAAGTTGGAGAAAATAAACGGCGTTTTGGCCTTTTCTGTTTTCCCCACTGGAAGCTTGATACTCACCGAAGTCCAAGTAAGGCAACGAGCCAGATCGCACAATGCAAGAATGAGTTCCTTTGACAGAAAACCCCAGAGCAAGTTGATCAGCAATTGGCAAATCGTTCTTGCATCGTCCGCATCGCCGGCAGAAACCCCCAGCATCAGAAGTGCTTCTTGGCACAGCCTTCGGACCAGACTTGCCGGCTCAAGTTGGTAAACAACAACCCTTTCTAGTCAACAATTTTTCCTGGGACCATACCTTCTGTTCGACTGACATACTCCCCAAGCACCTGACCATATTGCCAACGAACGTCTCAAGAACTCCACTTCAAACGACTACCATCATCCAGATCACAAAATGTCTATAGGCGTCCACATTTGGCCCACCTTTTGATGAGCACCCCAGCGAACCCATTAGCACCAGACAGACCTTGTCCGCACGTCGCCGACCGAGTTTCAAATAAGGCCCGCCAGTTCAAGGCCCTTTCTCTAGTATCTTTTGAATGAGCTCCAAGAAACCAAAAGCGGGACCACAGCTTCGCCTCACCTTGACCTGAAAACCAGCAGGTTAATCACCAACTAGTGAATTGTGGCCCCATCGCCGACCAGAGTCTCAGGTAAGCTTTCGAGAACGAGGCCCATCATTCCGAAGCCCTTCACTCAAAGAGTTCAAGACCAAAATTCCTAACCCAAAAGCTTGAGATCAGCTTCGCCTCACCTTGACCGAGTTTCCCAGCAAGTTGATCAGCACTTGCCGGATCCTCCCAGCGTCGCCGACGACCGTCTCCGGAACGCCGTCCCTGACAAGGCCTGCCAACTCGAGGCCCTTCTCTCGGGTCGTGCTCGCAAACATGCCCAAGATGTCCTCGATCAACGAACGGATGTCGAATGGTTCGCACTCCAGCTCCATGGCGCCCGCCTCTACTTTGCTGCACGTGTTAGGCGCGATGAGTCAGGACAGACTTCAGATTCTTAAAGTATCCATCATCCAATGATTGAGAGAAAAAGATTGCCCGGGGAAAGAGGCCCAGCTGCACAGCACCAGCCTTGAACTTTCTGCAATGGTAGAGCACAACAGGAGCAAAGCATTTCGAGTGCGATCACAACAGGAGCAAAGCATTTCGAGGGCGATCTGGAACCCGTATCACCACGGCGACCACAATTGGGAAAATTGGCCAGTTGGTCGCTGAGTCGACATTCGTGTGCACCAAGTCCCTCTGACGACCAGATCTTCAGAGTTGTAATGTCTTTGGTGCGCTTGACAACCTGACGCCTTCTTGTAGCGTGACGGTTTGCTTAGCTGAAGCTGCAGGGTGAGGACAAACCTACGAGCTACAAATTCCTTCGACCCTGCCTTTCGACAAGAAAGAAGTAAGCGACAGCGAATGAGAAACGACTCTCTTTGGCAGCTCTTGAAAAACAGCGCGTCAGCGAGCAATGTTAGGACGAAACCCAAAAAGACGTGGCCGAGAGGCGGGCCAGAAAAGACCGCAGATTCTTCTTCTCTGCTCTAACGCACCTCATGGGGGCCAGCCAACAATGGACAATATCGATTGTATATTCCACACACCCTGTCTAGACGGGGGGAAAGGGCAATGTAAAACAGCAAGAAACAGCAATGGCCGCAGTATATGTTGACACATCAAAGTGGAATGTCTTCAATCAATCCACTGTCCTCGGCAAGCCGGGTGAGGAGAAAGTGGACGGGACGATGCTCACCTGAGATCCAGCACGTCATTGACCTGCACAAAAACGAAGACTTCAGACAATAAGCAAAATACTTGTGGAAGCTAACAAGAGCATGGAGAACACTGATGCAAGTTCCCCGAAGAGAGCCCAGCGTGGCTTTCCGATCGCAATCAGATTCTCTTGTCGCTCGCAGGGCCTTCTCACAGCTGAGGCAGAGAAGCGATGATGTGGAGCACAAGGAATGGGTCTCCTTTCAAAGGGGTCGGCGGTGTCAAGGCCTTATCCCCGCAGTGTCGGAATTATCGCCCTACTGCTGTCCGGAATGTAGTCCACGAAATCTGGACGTCCGCATATCCGACGCCCACAGACGAGTCCTCTGAACAAGCTACTTTGAGTACTTCTGAAATAATGGCTTCAAGATTCCCTGGGTTGCGAGAGTCCGCTCACCAGAGCAACCAGCGCCTTGCCACTGGCCCGCGCCGTCCGCACATAGTCCAGCTGGACGTCGTTCAGCGGAGTGTCCAACAAAAGCGACATGCAGCCCAACACGCCTGCAAGTACGAGATCGCCGTTCGACCAGCTTGATCGACATGCATTCGTTTTCAGTTAAGGCAACGCAGAACAGCTCGTGCACATGCAGTGAACACGAAAGCGAGAGCGAGCACATAGAGCTCTCCACGTGTGCAACGAAGGCACGCGATTCCTTCGCAGCCGCAGGCGCTGAGAACCCTGGAATGCCTGTGATTCCCTCACTGGCGAAGTCTTACGGCTCTCTTTGCTCAAAAGTCCAAGCCCAGACCAAAGCACCCATTTTTAAGGATAATCAAGGGACGAAAGTGGCAAAGTATGTGATTGCAACAAGTGCATGGTTGGAAACAAACGTGCGCTGTGCAGTATTTAACGGCGTCAACACAAGGAACCGCGTACGAGCCACGAGGGGGTCTCACCGTTCAGGGGGGTCCTGCAGAAAAAGCAGCAAAGGCAGACTCAGCATCGTTCTCTAGGAACCGGCAGATGTATACGAAAGGAGAACGTTTCTAATCTATCCCTAGATTAGATGCATAGAATAACGCATAATCTCAAAGAGGCTCATAACTGAAGAGAGCATTCTAACAACCGTTTCCAAAGACCATATCAAGCAGACTCGTCCGAGTGGTCATTTACGTGCACGACAATCTCGGGAGGGAACTGACCTGATCTCGTGAGAAACGGTTGCCAGAAAGCGGCCTGCAGAGTCGACAAGCATCAAGAAGAGTCAGCAGATTTCGATCTCGAGTTTCAACTGGTGAACCGTTGCGCTCGAAACGGGAGGCCTCGAAACCTCGAAACGTCTCGCTACCTGAGAACTCAGAAGACCTGGAGCTGATTGGAAGGACTCGGAACACTCAAGAACGACTTGGAAACTGTATTTCGCTCAACCGCATTGCCAGTCAGAGGTGAGTCACTCCAAAAAAGCGACAGGACGGGTGGTGCTGGCGATAAATGAAAGCCATCGTGTCAATAATGGACCTGGATTTCACGATGGAAACTCGAAGGCGGACTGTCAATTTCCAACCCGTACATTCTGTATATAACCTTAGCCGTCATTCTATAGTCCCCAGGTTGGCCGTAACCTTGCAACTCATCTGCCCGGGAGGGAAAAGGGGCGCCTACCTTTTGCAGTGTCAGCAGCTTCAGCCGCAGCCTTGGCCATCGACAGTCGTTCAGACACTATATGCATCCGAGCCGCCTCCTGCAGATGTACGCAAAGCTTCAGAACTCAGATCATTTTCTATTGTCTGAAAATAGTTTCTGCTAGTTGGCTGGACTGGTCTGGAAGAATGTTACTCGACTCTTTGCCCAGATTGCTACGGTGCCACTTCGAAAAGTGGCTGACGAGGAAAGGGTCATCCAAAATGGAAATTCCTTTGAACTCACGTTTAGATTTATGGAAAGCGGTGTGTGCAGCTAGTCTGTGAGTCCTCCTCAAGAAACAGACGTCATCACCAAGCCTGAATCTATTCACTCCTTCCCCATGCTGTCAAGGGGCTTGAAAGGAGTGTACATGGTCAGGGCGGCCGTTGGAATACGAATTTCACAAGGTCAGACTGCCAATCCCAAGACCCCAAAATCTCAATCTTAGAACCCTAACCCCTGGAGCTCGGATCATAGAAGGCGTCCAGGATTCTTGGAATTTACGCACCTTCTCCATGCTGTCAAGGCGCTTGAAGGAAATGTACATGGTCAGGGCGGCCATGAGAACCACGAACATGATGAGGATCGCGTAGCCCACCCCGGTCATCACGATCCTGGCATTACCCGGGTTTGTCTGCAGGGCACAAGCCAGAAAAGTTCAAGCGACGGGTTTCTTAGAGAAAAATGGAAACAAGAGACGTGACCTGTGAGATGGAAACAATGGACGGACCTAAGAGGAAAAGCAGTCTTTGGAAACCTCTGAACTTGTCAAAACTGGAAATTTCGAGCACGAAGCTCAACACGGCTCAGAAGGAATGGAATAGGGGTCATTGGATTCAACTTGACGTTGGGGAAACTCGAAGTAGTCTAGCGTCCTTTTATACTTTTTTGAAACATGATGGAAGCTGGCTGCGTCTCAAACCCGCTGCATCTTCTGGTTAAATAAGCCAAGGCTTGGTCCGATATGGTTGGGCAAGTTTTGTCTGAGACTCGATCAGAGCGAAAAAGCGTTTTGAACAACTCACCCTCCTACATTGCAAGGAGTAGATCCTGGATTGCTCATAAATTGGAATTGCGTAGTCGGGCTTCCATTTTGGGAGCATCACGGTGAGGTTGGTCCCTTGGTCGAGCAGCGTAGCCGAACTGCCACTTCCGTTGTTATTTTGGAAGTGGCGGGCATACAGCAGGTTCGTGTCCTGGGGGGGCTCTGTTGTGACGTCATACACGCGCGACTCCACCCTCGTGTCAGAGAAATTGGCAAACACGTTGTTAGCCAGCGACTGCGCGTTCACTTGCGCATAGGTGTACCTGCAAAGTGGGCAATACACATTGCGTCAAACTCGGTCAACTCTCTTTGCCCAGTGGACAAGCAGAGTTACAAGCACCGTTGCACACCTTGACACGCATAGGAGCACCCATATCTGTAACAGTGAAAATGCATCCCCTTAAAAACTCGGGAGCATACCACCGAGGACTCGGCCAGCTCATCTGCGCATAAAGCTCCAATCACACGGTTGAACTACTCCAAAAAGGTTCTTATCATAAGGCGTACCACAAAGGCCAGACCGTACAACGGTTGTGAGACGGAGGTCGCTGCAAATTCAGGGCAGGACGAGACAGCGAGACGAATTAGACACTTCGAAAATTCGCGATTTCAAGCAGCATCGGTGCACTGGTTCAAGTCCGACGACACTCCCACTGTGGTCTCCAGAAACAAGACATTACAAACCCATTAACAGCAATCACGAAAGCTGCGCTTGGCTTGGTTCTTATCGCGTGTGGTGATGAACGCTCCAAAGTGGAGACGGACCAGACAATCGGAGATCGCAGGGAGTTGTTCATATGCACAAAACAGGTGCGTGAAGCCGAGCAGGTTACGAGATTCCATGCCAACTCAAAACATTGCTTTTCAGCTCGTTACATAAACGTGCATAGCCTTGTCAAGATCCAACCAGAGCAGATCAAACTACACACAACCGAGTAGAGAGAGCCTTCGAACTACGTGTGATGACAACGCGGCCCTGCCTACAATGTCTCACCCGATGCAAGCGTCCCGACGCTGCTGCACAGTCGCACTTTCCGGGAAAGCGACTGGCTCGTAGACTGCAGAAACGATGACGAAACCCAGAAGTCCGTTGTAGAGGATGCGGGGGGGGGAGAGCTGCTCCTTGCCCGTGTCCCGAGCTTCGAAAATGGTCTGCGACAGGACGGGATCGGCTGCCACAGAAGAGATAGCAGAGAGGACATCAGCAGATCATACACCTTGAGCGCCAGTGGACGCTCCCAAGAGTAGGGACGCTGCTCGACACAAAGACTGTGTGATTCTGCGGCAAAACTCCTACTATCTCCCCCTTTCAAGCCTCACGGGCTTGGAAGACGTCATTCCGCAACCAAAGAGAGACTTTTCAGGGTTTGACAAACGGTTCTTTTCAAGAAAACCGCAGAATCGCATCACCCAAGGTCAAGTGTTCAGCAGAACTTTGTCGAAGATAGAAAAAGTTGCTTGATACAATGATAACCACAAACCAGAGGGTCCTGTACTCGAAACCCATTGACGGTGTCCCTGCCAACGACAGTAGACCAGCCCGCCGACACTTTCTACCACGTATGAAGATGCAGGATTTGCAGGGAGTTGATGATCGAGTTGGAACAATCACGAACCTGCCAGGTCGAGGCCAAAGACATTACCCCTCAGCGGCACCTGCCCTGTATACCGCACGAGGGCATACTCCGATGCATTGTCTCGAGGCACCTGGATCGTTGACGAGTTTGGAGCGTATTGCGTGAAGGGGAAGAAGGGCGTGTCAAGCAGTGGCCGCTGCGCCTGTGTGACCCGGATCAAGTAGGCGATGCGCCCAAGAAGAAACCGAGCGCGAATTGTTGCCTCTCCAAACCTGCCAGGTGTGTAAGGTGTTTGTTAACACTGATATTGCAAAGATTGGAATAGGAAGGACCGTATGCTTGGCAAAGGGAAGTCTCAGTGGTGAACTTCATAGCTCCAGATCTTACAAGAAAAGCAAGCTGTGGGCCATTCCTTACAAGCTTCGGGGGCTCTGAGGTCGGTGTTGGAAAGCAGCTCAGAAACCGAGAGATGCTGGCTGGACAGAGACAATGGGGATAGCTGTGCAACATGAATCAGAGACATTTCAACTGGAAGCTGCTGAACAGACAAAGTAAGGCTGTGGAGAAAATTGAAAATTCGATTTTGGCCTGTGTCAGAACCCCCTGCGAAGTCGATACGAATCCAGATGAGACATGCCGGAGAGAGGGAACCCACGTTTGGAAGTTTTGTTGCGTCAGGTTCCCTTGCAGCGTCAGCACGAACCCCGAGTACATCAGCGCCTGGTCCGCCGCTGCGCGCAGCTCGCTCTGCAGCACGTTCGCCCTGTTCTTGCACTCGAGCTCCAAGTCCCGCTGCCGGTTCACCTTCAGGTTGCGGATGATGATGACAGCGGCCGTCACCGCTGCCGCAAGCCCGACAAAGAGCCACAGCCATAGGAGGAAGCGGCGCAAGCCGGGGGGACAGTGCTTGCACCAGAAGATGCACGACTTTGGCTTCGGGACCTTGAAGATGCTCAGATCCCAAGTGTCGTTGTTGCGTTGGGGGGAGGTCGGACCGGACGTGCTGGCAGAGGAGGGGCCCCCCGAGGAGCCCCGGCCGCCTGCCGGCCGCATGACGCTGATGCTGATGTCAGCGGACCTCTAGCGATGGACGCTCAAGTTGTCTTCAGCGACACACACTCATTGCTGCTTCCGGGCTTCACATGGATTTAGGCAGCTAACCGCAGACGCTCGAGTCATCCTTTGCACTTGTGCTGTTCCTATGTCCAACTCGAAAACCTCTGCTAGTGTGATTGTGGCCCCCCCGGAAGTGCGACTCATTCGGGCTTGAGGCTGTAGCGTCTGATGAGCAAAGAGCACAAGTGGCTGGGGCGTCTCCGCCGCCTTACTAGCTCGTAGGGTGCCTGGAAATAACCAGAGAGTAAGAATTCAGCATAACCGTGCTTCACTCAAAAAACAAGAGGACAAGAGACTAAAAGGTAATCTCACGTGAAGTGAGCTAAAGAGGGAGAGAAGCACAGGTGACAGTATGGCATGCTGTCCCCAACTTCAAAGGTGCTTTCTGCCAACTGCAAAGGACTGCAAATATTTGCAATCACTGTTGCGTTATCGAATGTTTTATTTTGTCCAGAACCATGGACACAAGCAAAAGGTCAATGTGTAAAGAAACCGGAGTTCGGCACGTGGTCTGCCAATATCAACCGTGGAACCAACTTGACAACTGCAAAAAAAATCTACTTGTGTGCTTAACCACTGACAATGTACATTGACTGAACGGTTTGCAAACGCTTTGCGAACGGGCCATCTGACCTGCCAGGAGAAAGAGTGTGAAACGAAGCCACAGTTGCATTAGAACCTTCCTAAAAAGTCCATAAGCAGATGCTTAAATCGTGCCTTACACTCGATCATGCGAAGGCTGTTTTCTATCAATACGCATTTCCAGAGGTTTGCTTGTCAGTTGGACCTTATTGAACACGAAACAAAATGTTTTCAGACAATCCAACCAATCTCTTCCGGGTTGCTCTTTGCAATGCAACTCACATATCACTACTTAAACTTCAATACCAATATACAGGGTGCATCGCTCGCCAGAAGCACTTGCAATTGGATATAACTTGTGCTTGACCCCCTTGAACCCTAACTTTTCCAAAGTGCAGGGAGAGACGTCCAGAGAAGCACGTCGATATGCCAAAAGACTCAAGCTCATCAAAACCCTTCGCAAATGTTGGGGAAATTTTTGATACCTACAGTCAATGTCTGCTTTTACACCCTTACGAGGGCTGCCTGACACACAACACTTGTATAGTCGGGGTCAGAATAGCTCGAGTTGTCTGGCACTGACTTGCGACTTGCAAGCACGTGTCTAAAGACAAAGGAGGAGAAAACCATTACCTTGTTATTCCACCGCCAAAAAACAATGTAGATCAGCCAGTTGAGTAGAGAATGCGCCTGATTGCTCCCCTTGTTGAGCTGCCCCTAGCTTTCAGAGTCTGGGGTAAAACCCTGAATGGCCAAACCTTTGCGGCAACTCTAGGTCTTCCCACAAAGGTCAGCTCTCCTATGCGCATTCAGCTTCTCAGGAACCCAATGTAGCGCCAAAAACAAATCAAGCAGCTACAGCAAGCGAACAGCTCAATGAAGACCAGCCAAAAGCCAACTCTAAGAAGCTATCATACCCCTGTCGTCCACGAGGTTGCAGGTTGATGCAATATCCGCCATGGGGCCTGTCTTCTGCGTCATGCAGAAGCCCCAGAGTGCGCTTCAGGAGATCCCTGTATGAACACTTCAAGATCCGCCATTTCAAATGCCTCCCTGCTCCCTCCCTGCTCGGATGAGTCGACCTCAGCCTCAGGAGTCAGGAGTCAAGACTCAGACTCCGGATCAGGGGGAGCTTGCCAGCTGGCATTGATATTTGAGCACCCGAGAATCCGAGAACCAGACTGAACAGTGAAAGCCGAGACGGTGACGTATGCGTGACGGGGTCAAACGCCGGCGCCGTGAACTGGTGTGACAGGGGATGAGCCCCGGGGGCGGGCGAGTTGTGTCAATGCGGCCACCCCGGCCGGAGTTTCAAGTTGGTCGTACGTAGTACGACGGTACGTTTCAAGCTCGGGAGTCGGCACCGTCCATCATACCTATGCTCGGGGGTAAGATCTGGCCCGCCGTCGACCGGGGTGACCAGAGCTGACGACGGGTGTCAGAAAGTTCGGTTAGAAGTTAGAACGCATGCAACTGTAAAAGTTGCACTGGCAGAGCGCGCCACTGACCAACCCAGTGATTGCCACCACTATAAATACTCCTAACTTACATGAGGTAGGATTGGCATAATCATGTTTCGCAACCTGAAATTTTGCACATTCAAGGGCAAGCATACGAGTAAATACTCTATTAATGCATGCAAAATCCAGCTTTCTGCATCGTTTTCAATCGTGGTTTCGTTTCGATGATTCTTGTTGGAAGCATGTTTCCAGCCTATCGGAAGAAGAACCGCCGAAATCGGTGAAGAAATGCTTTGTCTGTTTTCTCCAACTATATTAGGCCAATTTCGGCCCGGGTCTCAGAATAATCGTGCGCCCTCGGACCATATTTTGTATTTCGGGTGACACTTGGCAAGAATGCCGACCCGGTTTGACCATTTTGCCCAGTTATGAAGTGCGGGTGGTGGTCCGAGTCGCCTCGCCAGCTGCGACCTCTGCATGATAGTGAGAATTAACCCTCAAATCGATTCCTCTTTTCTGATGAGTGGACCACCTTTCCGAAAAGTGATTGCTTTCCTTCTTCCTAGATTCACAAACGCTCCGACACTGAGTACGTGACCGCCGGGTGACCGCCGGGGCCCTAAAACCTCCGCTGATCAAGTGATCTGAAGCTCTGCATGATGGCGAATCAGTTCGCAGAGCTTCCTATGCGTTTACGAGCTCTATCCTTACTATCGGCCCTGTATACAGCTATGTGGCCGCCACGATCGGATCGATGCAGTTGAGTGTTCGATCCTGAGCCTGATGTGCATTCCTGCCGCCAATCCGACAAAGCAGCAAGCAAAAGCGCGTACTCCGGTATTACCATCGCTCACTGATGGGATACATATGTACAATGTCTGCATGCCATACATGTTTACACAAAATCAATCAAACCTTGCGGGAGTTTGACTCTCGCTCAGCTCCCCTTAAAAGAACCACTTATGGCGCATGCACCATGAGTAGTAGGGAAGGCTTCGAGAAGATAGCGGGCCCGGCCCAAAGTAGTAGAACCATTGCCATGGATGAGGAGTGAACTGGAATGCCGAGTCTTGAGTTCTACTGAATGCCATTAGTCTCTTGCAATGCACATTGTGCGTGTTTTGAGTAAGAATGGTCCAGAGCTATACTAACGCAGACATACTGCGTGCAAGCGATGGCAGTGATCTCTATGTTGGATACGCCGTACACACGTTTGCATTTTGTCGGTACGCTCTAGCACCCTGTCGAGTTTGTCACAAGCACTCCACTGCATCGGATAACAATGCCCTCCTTGTAGTCACCCGACCATCGCACGCTTTCTGCCACGGGCCCGCACTGCAAAGAGAATAGACTTCGTTTGACGTTGAAATCCAATAGATGAGTGTCCCGTTCCATCCTGCTACGCAATGCCAGAGTTGCTGTGTACAAGTCACCTTTACTGAAGCGACAATCCACACGACTCCAAGATACGGGCTGAACGAAAGAAGGATTATAACACAACCCGCTTGCCATGCAACCGTTTGCAAAAACCCGGCCAAAACGGGCTGACTTGGGTCAAATGGAAACAGGTATGAGAAATTCGATGATCTTTCTATTGAGCATACCTCACCGTCCTGTGTCCACTTAGAGCCCCGAGAACCGCTCACTCTACTTGTGCAAAGTGCACAATCGCAAGTCAGCTTCTGAAGACCTACCTTCTGCAAAGCGATTGAGGACTGAGCTCCAAAACTTGGAGGACTTCTTGTAGGAGGCCAAGACGAGAGAGAACTGCAAAAATAACCAGGCTAAAGAATCAGTATTCTCTCGTGTCCCCCGGTATATCTGGAAAGATAACCATAGCGTTGAAATCAAAGTCGTCTTCCAGGGTACGACAGACCAGGCAAAGCATCGCTTTCCCTTCTCGGACACGCCAGGAACCATTCAGACTAGACGACCCTGATCGGAATGTAAGCGAGAATGACTACACTGAAAACTCCGAGCAGCCGCTTCGCGTGACTCCCTTCCCAGACCACGATGAAGAAATCGGACGCCTTATTAGGAGACAAGCGCGGTCTCGAGGGGCCATCCCGAGGAATATTATAATGAGACTCGCAATTTCGTCTGGTCTCCAATGCTCTATGTCAAAAAGAGATCCACCAAACGGGCACCCAAACCGCTCTTCGCGATCCACATGCCCTGGCAGAGAAAGGAAACGAGACAAGGGGCATGAAAGCGAGGCTACCAAACTCTCGGGACAGGTGCTGCGAGTTCACCAGATTCAAAGACCAGCGTGGCTGCTTACCACGTCCCCGGAACGAGAGTGAGCGCTCAGGAACGCCCGTTCGAGCACGTAGAGGTCTACGCCCTTGTCTTCCGTGAGAGTCGAATTGGCCGCCAGCCCGAAGTCGATCAACACCTGTATTACAAGGTGAGATCAGGACGCAAGAAAAGGCAACGGAAAGAGCGAATCGTCTGGATTAACAGACAACAAGGTCGATTGCACGGATTAGAACACGAAGGACGGGCAGCCGGCTTTCGCAGAATACGGTTTAGACGCCAGCCCGAGGCCGATCAAAACCTGTGAAAGAGTCTAAGGGGATGCTGGGAAAGTAGCAGAAAGCAATGGCAGAATTGACTGCCTAAGCTGAAAGTTCAAGGAGAAGAGAGGAAGGCAGAAGCGTCAGTCTTCCGCAAGGTCGAGTTGGACGGCAGCCCAAAAGTCAATTAACAATGGCACCAGATGTTTGATCAGAATCGGGGAAAACCAGCAAAAACCAACGAATACAAGTGCCCGAGTTGAAAGATCGAAAAGCAGAAGCAGAAGAGAAAAGACGATGAAAGAGGAGAAGTGTTCGGCGAGAATCAAGATGGACGCCAGCCAGAAGCTCAGCAACACCGGTTCCTGACAGACCATCAAAGTGCCGGAAACAAGCAAAAGAATGGGGACAGTCGACGGTTTGAAGTGAGAGAACGGGTTTTCCTTGCCATAGACCCATATGAGAACACGCAGGCAGCGTTCAGAAACGCAAACTGACCACTTGTCCGTCTGGCCGAACTAGGATATTAGACGTCGTTAGGTCGCCGTGAACGAGACCTCCGTCGTGCAGACGCGCCACGCAGGCCCCGATGCTCTCCGCCAGGCGCTGAATCTCTGGGTCTACACAGTGAGCACGCCGAATCTATTAACACTTCCGGACGATCTTCCATAGCCTTTTCCGGAGGAAGTTCGGCCAATCCCGGTCGCGCTTGGGTAGTTTGAAACGCTTCTGGGCACAGGCACATTCAAGACTGTTCAGCCACATTGAAGTTCGAACACTTCCGGATACTTTCCAGGCACTATAGAGTACTGAACATTGTTGGGGGTCCATATCCGAAGGTTTCCGAACCCATTCTGGACATTTCAGAAAGGACGGCTCTGAGACACATGCGGATGAGGCGTCCGTTGGCGGGACACTCCAATAAAGCAACGTAACGGAGTCTACTGATTGAAAGAGTGGCGATCGACCATGCATAAACGCTTCTCATCGCTACTGGCCGGAACCTCAAGACTTATCGGCAATGTTGGGTGAAGACAAGTCCGAAAGCCAACACAACCGTAGCGTTTCTACAAGACGGGAGATAGTGGGGATTCCACTAAGATACATTCCTCAGTCCTCGCATGCATCGCCAAGTCTCCAGGTTCCAAACGTTCAAGTGTTCTCACCTTCATGCGTGAGGGTTTCAGCAAGAAGAAGATCCTTCAGGGAGCGCCCTTCTACCCGTTCCAAAGTAAGCGTGCTGGCGGCCGGGTCGACTGCGTATAACGTCGGCGTCAGCACGCCGAGCTTGCGCGCTTTCGCCAGACTTCGCGCCTCCTGGAAGGAATGGGTTCCCACAGCGAGATTCAGCAGGCTGCCGTGGGATATGTCCGACGTGTCGTCAGCTGCGTACCGCCTCTTCAACCGCCTGGCAGTATCGCAGGCGTGATCCAACATCTTAAATCCACGATAAATTCGGAGCAGGGCGTGCGTAGAAAGGAAAGAAGTAGCTCCTTGACCTCTGGACTTCTTTGTGCAGATTGGGCGCATCTGCAAGCAGCGGAAGCTCAACTTACTGCCCGCTCACTCCGAAAGTAAATCCAAGCCGTCAAAGATGGATGTGTAGAGTGACACTCTCTTCCTAAGGATTTGGCAGAAGTCTTCTTGAACGCGTGGATACGAAATAGGAGACGGTGCCTTAGACGGGCTTTAAGTTTGCGTTTCACTCCTTTTCGACTTCACTGTATTTGGAGGCTGGCCCCGCCGTGTTTTCTGTAATCTACGCACCGAGACTTTTGAGAATTATCACCCACAAGCTTTCGAAACCATATATTTTAAACTACAATCAACCTTAGGCCACTGTAGCATGGCCTTCTCCCATAAAAGCCGGCTTGTAAAGCTTGGCATCCGACAGCATTAGGCCCAACTCTCCCTGCATTCACGGACGTCAGATTCTTCCCTACGCACTGTTGATATCGTTGCAACTTCTCGGAAAGATATCGTTACAACTTCTCTGAAAACGAGAAAGCGACCTTACCCCAGTGAGGCGACGGCTGGTGAGCTTGGCATCGAGCGTAGGATGGCGGTACTTCTTCGAGAAGCGTTGCTTGATCACGGCCGGCCGGCCCAAGTAAGTACTGACAAAGACCCTCTGCAAGCAGGTGCAGAGGGAGACATCTTTCTAGAATGCAACAGTCGCTGCTTTGCGTTCCTTCCAGGCAATCTCTTCAGAGAAGCAGAACTCCTGATTTGTAGAGGAAACGAGATCTCTGACAAGTGGAAAGACAGCTTTCAAGTTAAAAGATTGATAAAGATATACTAGTTCATTTCTCACCGCTTCAGCTCCTTGGTTGAGTAGTTCTCCACGAGGGGGCTCCACTGCCGCAGTGGCATCAGAAGTCCGAGGGCCGTCCGCTTCCATCGCCCCAGGGTCCGTCATGCCAGTGCTCCCTCACTTCTGTCCCTTTCTTATCCTACTCAATGGCAGTCCAAAAACTTCCTTTTGATGACGCTGAATAACTGGCGGCTGTGCAGAGGAGGCTATCGGCGCTGCTACTGTGCAAGCGACTGAGGTCTACTACACGCTCAGGGGCTAGATCATGATGTATTAGAGACCCTCTAGATTATACTTCTGAAGAAGATACGGTAGGTTGGCAATCGAGCTGTAGGTGACTTGGATTGCGGCAATATGAAGCAGAGATTCTCTACAATGTCTTCTTCTTTGCTTTTCTTCTGGCACTTGTTGGAATCGGTGTACTGCACAGGGAAATGGGGGCAGGTGAGCCGGGGGGGTGATGCCCCTCACTTTGATGAACGTTGCTGCACTGGAGGTGAGGACACTGATTTTGCAGGATGTGCTTGCAAAAAGAACACTTTATCTCCAAGCAATGGCCTTTCTTCAGCTTCATTGACAAAAAATCGAACCACTCTTTGGGCCGAAGCTGCTGTACGCAAATTTGCTCAGGCTTGTTGAGAAAGTTTATGGGGAGCAACCAACTGACAAAGGCCCATCAGCACCTTTTGAAAACCTATGAATTTCATAGCGGGGAAGTGCGTCAAAAGACAATTTGCTTGTTTGTTTTGGCCTTTTATTGAGTCAACATCTGCTACGTCTTGAGATGCCAGAGCCTTAAGCAGTTCGCCTCTTTACAACTCTCCGGATGCTCGCACATGGTCACCATTGTGAGAGAACATATGATAGGCAAAGGGGAGCCATCCTTAATTGGTAAAAGCATTTTTACCAGCAGCTTTTCACAAGACATTTCTTCCTGCACCACCTCGGGCACCACCTTTGCACCTTCCAGCCTTTCAGTCCCAGCCATCAGATGCATCTTGACATGATATAAAAGCATGGGGATGATGAGAAACTCACCACCAAGTACTGCATTGCACCGGCGCCGCTGCACAGCAAACAAACCCCGTCTTTGCAAACTATCCTTTAGCCATGAAGCAACGTCCCTGCTTTATGAGTTCACCTAGGACCTTTTTCGTGCTCTTAGGAGCGCACAGCTGCGCACAGAGCTCTGCACAGGCTCGATCACGTTGCCATGGCAGCTGGCAACTAGGAAAGGAAAAACATTTGCAAGCTTTTTCTCCGAGCTGGTCCCATTTTGACAGGTTAGACGCAGGGTTTTCGGGCTCAACTAACAGCGCACAGTTCACATTTAGGCCGGCTGTGTTGATCGGGTTTGGATAACCCGAATGGGAACTACAAGCAAGGGCCCGGGTAACTCGTGACGCGCGCAATAAGTTACCTGTTGCTGCCTACGCGTACGTCCGTGTCGTGTCAATGTTGCCTGCTGTGTCACTGTTGCATTGCTGATCACAATGTCGTCGGACGCTTTGCATGAAAGTTCAACGCTTCAAAACAACAGCAGGGAGGTATGAGCAGGGCATTTTGAGCTGGGCTAGAAGCAGCAAAGAGAGCGAAGTTTGTCATACACCAGTTGAATTTTGGGATCATGGCTTCGGATCTGGATGACAAGGCCAAGCGGGTGCGCAGCTTACTCAGCAGCTACTATGGCACTGATCCTGCAGAGCAGGGATCAGCAGGAGAAGGCAGGGCGGCCCCGAGCTATGTTGGCATTGACTCGAAGGGGTTTGATGCTGATAGATATGTGGCTAGCCTGGTGAGGAATACCTGAAGTCCTTGTATGTTCCTAATTGAATCCTGATTCAATGAATGCAATATTAAGGATATTGTTGTGCACATCTTGCGATTCCTTTAGCGCCCCTTCTTTAAGCTCTTGCTCTTCTGCTCACTGGGAGAGCTTTTCCTCTCTGGCTGAGGGAAGCTTCTCTGGTTGATCCAGTGGCAGCTTTTTCAAAGCAGGGTGTCTCTCTATTGATGATACAGCATTTATCATGCTCACATTTGAAATCGTGCATTGAGCACACTTCGCAGCTGTCACGCATCTTCATGAGCTCAGAAACTGCTGCCAAATCTTCCTTCTAGAATGCCGTACAGTGATTGAGCTGCAAGCCGCATCGCTATTGCCTTGGATGCAGCTTGGTCAAACTCTAATTTGAAGCGGCTACTTCTCAAGGCGTGTGTCATCTTAAAAGCATCATAAATTTGGCAATTGACAACAGGCGCTCAAAAATCTGAAACTCTCTCTGTGCCTGAGGGTTGAAACGAGGCCCATATCGCATAATGGTGCCATCTTTCAGTGGCATTGTGTGAATTGGGGGCTCAATTCCTGACTGCATAGTACTGTGATCATCTGCAGCTAGGAGGCACCATTCAGAGGGCCTCCTGTTATAAAGTAAGAGAATATTGAAAGAGAAGCGGCCCTGCTTAAGGTGCGGGTACATGAAGGCTTCAGCTATTCGGTGATTATCGGAACACTCTGAAGTCGTGTCATTGGACAGGTCTTTATTGCTGAGTGTTGAGGACGTTGTCTGCAGTTGCGAGGCACCCGGTTGGAGGGCCTGCTCTCCAAGCACGTCGAGATGGCGGCGGAGATCAAGAACTTGGACAGTGATATGCAGATGCTGGTGTACGAGAACTACAACAAGTTTATCAGCGCGACTGACACCATTCGCAGGTGCGCCTTACTCTTGGAACATGGGGGGTGGGAGTTTGCAGTTTGAATGCTTGTGGTGAAATGTGGACCAGTGTCTAAGTGAGTGCCTCATTAGCTCCGCAGGCAACATCTGGAGGCAAATCGTGCTCTAGATCTGGACCTGGGGCTCGGCGAAGTGGACATTGTACAGGGACTTGAGAGGGGATTCAGCGCCAGATGCTAGTGATTGTTGACTTTCAAAGCGCAGATGCACTTAGCTCAAGGTGTTGAAAGCAGGGTCAGTGTTAGTCAAGCCAGACACTTTTGACTCTCTCGCGACAAGGCCCAGTTTCGTGGTGTCCAAAGAGTCCCCCAGGTCCTACCATGTCAGGCTCACATCGACATACTGCAATTGCAGGATGAAGGAAAATGTAGGCGGGATGGAGAGCCAGATGGATCTGCTGCTCAGCACGGTAACCTCGGTGCGCTCAAAGAGCGATGGTGTGAACACCAACCTGTCCTCCCGGAGGGAGCGCATTGAGTCGCTGAATGGGACCCGAAGCCTTTTGCGCAAAGTCCAGGTATGGACGGATGTACCCTCCAGTGCACTCTGAAGCTGATGAGGAGTAGCTTCTCTTTTCAGTTTGAACTTGGATTCGTCCTTTTTGTTTGTTGTCAGATTCCATGTTTTACGATATTAGGAAACACTCTCAAGGCTCGAAGTACCCATTCGCCATCCCTCTTGGATGGCGCAAGGTGCACTATCCAGGACTGCTGGCACTTTTGTTGTCAGCGACGGTCAAGTTTTTATGGAACTCAGACCCTCTGCTTGTCAAGGTTGTAAGCAGCTCGTAACGAAGCTGATGATGGAGATTGAGATGGCCGTCGCTTCAAAAAATACAAGGGATATGTATAGGTCGTAGGAAGTCGCTTCTGTTGGCTACTTGCTGCGCATTCTAGCTGCATCTTGATCCGTCTCTTTCTCTGCCGCTTGCAGTTTGTCTTCGACCTCCCAAAACGGCTTCACAAATGCCTCGAGCACAAGGCATATGCCCAGGCAGTCAAGTACTATGTTGGAGCGCTGCCCATCCTGAACGTAAGTAGCTTGGAAACCTGTGCAGGGGCCAATTGCCGCCGTGCGGCACGGCTGAAGCTTAGGAGTACCTTCTCAAGACCTCAGAGATCAATTTGGAACTGAATTCTGAACGTCCAAAGCGTGGGTCGAAAGAGAAAATGCTGCGAGTTTACTTTCTTTCCATGGTGTTCATGGCGTCCCTTCGGGGCTCCTAACCATACCTGCCAAGCAAGCCATCTAGTCTGCCTTCTTTTCACAGCTTCCTACACGCATATATCTCTCTGCATACATTTTTAGGTCTTTGTCAGGGCTTTCTGTGCTCCGAAGAAGAAGCCGGCACGTTTGGAGAAACCATAAGTACTGTTCTGTCCTAGGTTGCCTCGTTCTCCTTGGAGCCGACCCTGCCAGCCCTAACCTGATCCACTGACGTCGTCGTCTACCCCTCGCAGAAGTACGGGGACTCCTCGTTCCAGTCGTGTAAAGACGAGTCGGAGGAGGTGATGGAGAAAGTCATCCGCCAGATGGAGGCCCTCATTGTGTCGGATGCTGCAGACAATGACGATCGAGCGGAGGCCGTCCAGTTGCTCGAGCAGCTAAACCAACCGGTTAGTAACAAAACATCCATGAGCTTTGGGGATAACTCCTCGGATATCCCTTGGTTCTTTGTGGCGTCTAGACCGTGGTCGGTTTGTAACTGTGAGGTGGCTGCAAACAATGACGATTGAGCGGAGGCCGTCTGATTGCTCGAGCAGCTCAATCAGCCCGTAAGAAGTCTTTGCTCGGAAAGACAGAGCGAAGGAAGAAATGTTTCCGGTTGTTTCAGTCGGGAGGACCGGGAACGTTCGGTGAACAATCATCTGGCGTTTTAGAGGCCAGAAGGAAAAAGCGCGACGGAATTTTAGCAGGATCAGAACTCTGCGATGCTCGAACCTGCATCGCTACCATATGATTTTGGACGGGTCGCAAACTTTGGAAGGACGGGTTTGAGCAACCCCGCAAAGACCGTACCACAAACGAGACATTTGAGGCGTTCAACTTGCGAAAGTCAGTAACCGGACGGGAGGGTTGTGCATCTTCGTTGTTCCTCGAGCCATTCTAATGCGGTTTTTGCGTGGTCTGTATTGGATCTTCCTTACAATGGGTGTTTGGACTGTGTTTTGCGCACATAATGGAAACGACCACTCGAGAAAGATCGGGCTCGATTTTGACCCTTACCTTTGCATTGGTTTACTTTCGGGCCCGAGTACCGTCGACTCCATCATGATCTTCGGGCCCGAGAAATCGAGCCCGAGGCTGATTGGATTTGATGTCGCCTCGATTCAAAACCGATACGCAAATACATCAATTACCAAAGCCCGTACCGAAGCATGGGGCTTACCTGAGTACAGATCGACTCGATTCAAAACCGATGTTGCTCTCAAAGTGTCCGAACCAAGCCATAGAAATCCTGAGTGCGAATACCCCATCAGCCGGTCTTGCATCCATTTCCGCAGGTGGACCAGCTCCAAGAAGACTTCTTGGCCCGCCACTGGAAACGTCTGCTGCAAGAACTGCAGGACGTGACGGCAGCAAAGGCGGCCGCTGCCGTCAGCGCAGAAGACCCAGCGACGCCAAGAACTACCCAGTTGAACGCTAACAAGGCGAGCGGTTCTCCTCTTGGGTCTTCGAACTTTACCCTGAAACTCTTCTTACGTGAGAGACAATTCGTCTGGTGCCTCACCGTTTTTGAAGAAGTGTAAGCTACCGAGTCTTTGAACTGGCGTCCTATCCTGAGCTACGAGACAAGTTTCTGGCACGCACTGTTGAAAGGAATGCAAGTAAGTTGTCTAGTTGAGCTCTTGTCGTCAATGATCGAGACTACCATCCTCCCACTTTCTAGAGAAATCGTTGGACGCCAATCAGTAGCCAGCAAAGAATGCAACATTCTACGCGAACTTTGTCCCCTTCGCATGCGTCCACTAGAGAATCGAGTAAGAATGCAACCGATTTTTTCAAGCCTTCACCAGTATCCACTCAAGCGCGTTTGAGCTTTACTAAGTCGCTTTCAAAGTGCCTTCTCCAAGTACATCCACAATTTGTCAGATTGTTCGAATACTTTCGTGCAGGCGTTCATCGAGGACTTCACCCGGACCGCCTCCACGTTCCGTACGCTCTTCCCGCGGGCGGAGGCGCAGCTCACTGAGAAGACCCAAGAGCTGTACCGCGAGTATTTCAGCCACGTCCAGGGGGCTCTGCAGCCAGCCGCGGGGACCCCCCGGGCCGCGGATCTGGTCGCCGCCATCAAAACGCTATCGGACGACACGCACCTGATGCACGACGTCGTGCCGGATGCCGGCTTATATAAGAAGGCGGCGGAGGTACGCACTCCTGCCTTTGCGCTTATGGGTGGCTAAAGTTTCCTCGCTTCTACGTAATGAAGAGGAAAAGACTCCAGCAGATTACAGCTTCCGCTAATATTTAAGGGTTTCGGATTCTATTTCCTTTGCACCTTCCTTCCTACCTGCGCCTGTCGAAGCCGGGCAACACTATGTTAGTTGCCGCTGCTTACCCCGCTTTCTGTGTCGAAGTCTTTTGTGAATCAGTTTGTTGCTTCTGTACGTACTCAAAATCTCCCTTTGATCCTGTTATCTCACAGCGTCAAACTGCTCCGCGCACTGCAAAACTAATAAAAAAGCAAGGACGCAGACCATATTTTGCACTTTAGAGACTGATACGACGAAAGAAAGTCCAGGTAGTCTTTGGAGTGTCTCCTTCTCGTTACGGTCCGCATCCTGAACCTGCGCCTCCTGAGGGGATGTTGTAATTTTGCTCGGTCCCGCAGGCGGCGCGGCGGGCCGTGGAGGACCACGTTGCCAGCATTTTCTCGTCCCTCCAAGAGCGCATCCTATCGTCAGCACTGGCGAGCACGAGCGTGGCAGGGTCGCCGACCGAGCAAGGTAAAGCACAGTGTTGAGTTTGATTCAAGCAGTCTCACCCTTCCCTTTGGTAAGTCGGGGAACCTCACTTTTGAACCTTTTGAACCTCACACACTTTGGCTTCAGTCGGGGATCGTTTGAAACCAGCCCACCGTTTTTGAGCTGCCGCTTGTGCTCCGACAGGCGTGTGACTGGGCCACCTATACTGAGGAAAAGCTTGAGTGTGTCATTGGGATTTTATCACGAGGTTTGGAAAAGGTTTCTCCTTTGAGCATCTTATGATGCTCCAATATGAACCTTTCAACAGTCCACGAGACGTTTTCTTCTTTCCTTTAGCGCCGAAACCTCTTCTTAGGCTTGGAGACTCCTTTCCTCGTTCGTTCAGCGGCAAACCTTTCCGCCGGGCTCCAGACTGTTTTCTTCTTTGCTTTAGTGACAAAGCTTTCCGCAAGGCGTGAGGGGTTGTCTCGTCCAGCGACACAACCTTTCCGAGTCTTTCCAAAGAGTCTTTTGTTCCACTCAAGGAATTTGTACGTGTCTTGTCTCAATCAGCGACGAACCTTTCTACTGGGCTCGAGGCCGCCACTCACGCGCTTCTCCAGGGGAGCATCGAGGTCGTTCAGGACGTCGAAGTGTTGCTGGACGATGGGGTGCAGCTGCTATCGAGCTGGAAAGAGGAATACGCTGACCTCGTGCAGGTGAGTTCCAAAATGGGAGTGGATAGCCAAAGGACCCATGGTTCCGATCTCTTTTTCCGTTGTCGTCTCCCGTGTTCCGCTTTCCGTTTCCCTTTGCATCAGCGGCTGGCCAGCTGAAGAAAGGAGTGCGTGGACCTAAAGCAGGTTGTTTTGATTATAATTCTTCACTTCCGGGCTATGGCTCTGGTCGCCGTTTGCGGGACGGTGCTGGTCCTTAAGAAAAGGGGGCCCTTTTTTTCTCGTCTCCGTTTTCCGTTCTCGAATTCATTTGTGTGGGCATCATGTGCGCCTCATTGCATCTGTCGATGTCCGTTGTTTTGATCTTTCTCTCGTCGTCGAATAATTTTATACCTCAAGATAGAATGGCCCTATCGTGTGCCCTGCTTCTTGCTAGAATCATCCTCCAAAGTTCGTAGCCTTTGAACTTCGGGATGCTGTTCCGTTTACTGACCCCTTCATGATTCAGATGATTTTTGTAAGATCGAGTCATGACTTTTTGAGGATCTTGTTGAAAAGTACCAGCGCTCAATGATTGGTATCCACTATTGACCCTACAAGAAGTTGAACACCATTTGCAAGAAAAAGGCTTGGTTCAGAAACCGACCCGGAGTTCGAAATTGCAAACACTGACTTGATTGCTGGCTTTCCTACAATTCTTAAAAGGAAGCTACGAGCCCAAGGGCTTGCGACGCTTGCCTCGAGTTTCACCAAGGCAATTGGCTCACGAGTTTCTCAGTTGGGACACGAGATTCAGTTGTTGTTAACCCTCACTTTATTCGGGTTGTCTGTGCCTGCAGTCCAAATTCCAACAGCTGTTCCAGTCTCTCCACGACACGTTCCTTTCGCTTGGTAACGGGGCGGAGGACCCTGCCCGCGCCCCAACCCCTAGCCCAGGGCCCTCTGGAAGTGAGGCACTACCCCAATCTAGCTGCATGAGTTCTGCTACTGGACCTTCTTTCTTCGGTCGTTCTGTCGAGGACAGAGTAGTTTTCCGGCACGGAGCACGTCTTGACACGCCTCGTTAGTGAATGTGGAACGGCCGTCCACACTGGTTGTGAAAGCACGCGCAGACGCCCTTGACCATGTGGTTACTTCCTCGTTGTACTGAAAGGCGGATCGACTCACATTTGCGATGCCCATGCATGTATGCCATGTCCAGGCTCTGAAAGGCAGCGCGTTACTCCGGTGAGATGCGGACGTTATTTCAGAGACATCACGACGTTGTTCCGATTGTCATTCGCTCCATTTAGGCGGAGAAGGAACACATTCCGGAATGTTCGTCACGACAATGGGCGAGAAACAAGCACAGCTATAGACAGACTGCTCTCTTAGACGCCTCGGCAGAAATATGAAAGTGACGCTAACTCTTTCTCCCCAGGCGCGGCTGCAAGTTCCGGTGCCGCGCCGTCTCCCGGGCTGGTGCTGCTCCTCGCCCGCCTTTGCGTTGCTGTGGACGCGCAAGGCCTCCCCCGAGTCACTGAGGTACGCTCTATTTCACAAAGATTAAGCAGTCTGTTGACCTTGGTGGGGAATCTATTCAGGATGTCAGTGCAATGCGGACGGGTCAAGCCAGAGTCCAGTAAAGCCTACTAGCTTCAAGAAGAATCTGGTTAATGGCATTGAAAGGCGTCAACCCGATGACGTTAGTTTCCTCACTCGCACAATTTTCAAAGGGATGTGAACTTGGGGTTGGTTCCGCTTGAAATAATTTTCACCGAAGTCATCCGCTCTGAGAAGCTTCCCTGGGAAGTTTGCAGTGTCTTAAGAAGTGTAGGGGTTGGACGTACAAGCTGCTTGGTAGGATCCTTGCAGCACGACCAGATTTACACCCTGCCCTCCAACATCGGAAAGTGCGCCCACGTCGTCACTCGTCACAGTCGTCACAGCAACTTCTTTCTTCCTGCCGCAGTCTCTCGCACGAAAGTTCGTTGGGGGTTCCGCGCACAAGGAACGACCGTCGTTCCTCCCGTCCGAGTTTGCGCGGCTGTTCCGTGCGGCGGGCGAGCGGCTGCTCCAGCAATACGTCAACCTGCAAATCAAGAAGCTGACGCTGCTGGTGCGAAAGAGCGTCGAGACACCGAACTGGCTCAAGGTGACAACTACGGTCCTCTTCATTATCTTGCTTCTTCTCAAGCGAGCTCGTTAATCCTGATGACCCTTCAATGTGAAAGTCAACCTACCACCAACCCCAGGTCTAGCGGGTCCCCTGATATTTGCAAGCGGGTCCCCTGATATTTGCACCATTCTGAGTGGCTTCCGAGCAGGCAAAGGCGCCCCGACTCGAGGCTTTGATCCATCGCCCAACAGCATTTGTGTACCAACTCAAGCCTAACCCAACTGCAAATCGCCCACTTTTCATCTGAATTTGATTTCATACGTCAGGTAATGAGCATCGCAATGTGCTTGTTGTTGCCAAAATGCTTGTCCGGCGGATGCCAATCCAACTGGATGTCCGACATCCCTGGACGTTAACCAAAAAACATTATGAATCCTGACTCAATCACATTCTGTAACTACCCTCAAAGTCAGCCTTAAGCTGATCCTAAACACGGTGTTGCGGGCAAGGAGCCCCGCGACGTGCGCATGGTCGCTGATCTGCTCCTGCAAGAAGTGGAGGCCATCGAGTCGGACGTCCGGCAGCTTTTGGACGCTAAGCGAAACATTGTTAGAAAATATTCCTAACACAACCCTAATCCTAATGATGAACCCCGTTCTTGCAGGCGAAGGAGCCCCGCGATGTGCGCATGGTCGCCGACCTGCTCCTGCAAGAAGTGGAGGCCATCCAATCGGACGTCCGTCAGCTTTTGGACGCGGGCGAAAAGGCGACCCACCGGCGGACCAACAGCGGAAGCGCGGTCGCCCGGAGCACTCCCCCGAGCGCCGAGCAGCGGCGAATGGCGCCCACGCAGCGCAGCCGGAGCAGGATCTTGGAGCGAGACGTAGCGAAACTGTTCCGTCAAAAGTGAGCTTCTGATGTTGGACTCTGAATTATCTAAAAATTCTCTTGGCCAGTGGTTCATGCTTTCGTTTTTTCGTTTCTGTTCTTCCTTCCTTGATTGTAAAAGCGCTGACTGGCATTGGATGGCGCCCGAGCAGCGCAGCCGGAGCAGGATCTTGGAGCGAGACGTGGCGCAACTGTTCCGTCAAAAGCAAGCTCTTTTTGCCAACTTGACTTCCTGTTTCCGGATTTCCCCCCCCGCTTTCTTTATCTCTTCTTTGATCTCAAAGCGCGCATCATCAAGCGCTGGTGCCCACACAGCACAACCGGAGCCGGATCCTGGAGCGAGTGAGGCGAAACTGTTCCGTCAAAAGTTAGCTTTTCTTGCTAGCTTGACTTTCTGTTCCCCTTTTCTGTCTTCTATCTTTTTTATCTATTCTTTGATAACAAAGCGCGCATCATCGGGCGCTGGTGACCACACAGCACAGCCGGAGTCCGATCCTGGAGCGAGACGTCGCGAAACTGTTCCGTCAAAAATGAGCTTCCTTTTGCTACTTGACTTTCTACTTTTATTTTTCCTCTTTCGCGCCTTCTTTGTCTGTTCTTTCTTCTTAGAGCGCGCATCAGTGGGCGCTGGTGCCTGTAGCGCAGCCAAAATAGGAATCTGGAGCGAGACGTGGCGAAACTGTTCGTGTTTGCAGCCTGTTCTTTTCCCTTTGCTGCTCATATCCATTTTGTATCATGTCCATTTCCCCTTCTAAACGTGGGTCCCACAATATTGAGCACGACATCGATTCCATTTTCATGACAAAAGTTTGGCTGTAGGGGTTCAGGGGAAGGAAGTCGTTTCTGAATTGACTTTGACAGCTTTGTTCGTTTGAAAGGAGCCTGATACCGTATCATCGAACCGACTACGGGTAGCCAGTGCTCGAGGGACATTTGTTCCCCTCCCGTGACCTCGTCGTCATTCTATAACGAGCACGCAGCAGCGTTCGAAGGATTCAGGAGTGCGTATAAGTCTTAGAAACGAGAATTGAAACGGAAGAACTGTCACGCAAGGATCAGCGCAGTCTGCGGACTATCGTGTGCGTTGGCTCAATGTCTTTTAGCGAACTTAGGCAGTGCTCCGATCAAAGAAGATGCGCTTTCTAGTTCCTTGTCAAGCACTCCTTCACGTACAACCGAGCATTACAGCTTGTATATTCTCTCATCGAAGACCGGGCATGAAAAGACTGAACCATTTGCTCACGTTTCGTCTCAGGGTGGAGCTGTTCACCAAGATCGAGTACACGCAGTCGAGCGTTCTCTCCGCCATCGTCAAGATCGTCCTCAAAAGCTTCGAGGAGTTTGTCCGCCTCGAGACGTTCAGCCGCAGCGGCTTCCAGCAGATCCAGCTAGATACGCAGTACTTGCGCGCGCCGCTACGGGATTACATGGACGACGAGACGGTAGCGGATACGCTATTGGACGAAGTTTGCACCGCGGCTGCGGAGAGGTGCCTCGACCCGACGCCCCTGGAACCGAGTGTGATAGATAGGATCGTGGCGGCAAAGCGGAGCAAGCAGGGGCCCTGATCGGAGTGTCGTTGGCTAGGCGAGGGTCTCTTGGTGCACCGATGACTAGATCGGGCGTTGGCGCGATCACATCTTCAGGTCTTGTAGTGGCAACACTTGACTCCTAAGGAACGCACACCTGATTCTGTGGGAGCCCTTTAAATTGCGGTGGTGCAAAATATCCTGCCATAAGTACGGTAACTCATGAATCATTGATGGTATGTTGGACGTGCGGCCTATTGGGTTGATCAACATTTGACTCAAGGCAGGACTCGAGCCCGGCCTGCGCTGAATACGCTAATGGTTATGCGATAAGTTCGGACCCGGCGGCCGGCTAGGCTGGGCATGTGGTTTGCACCATGCACATGACAGCTTGGCGATTGCCAGAACATGCACAACAAGGATTCGGAAGTGTACAGAATGCGCATAGTACTATATTAATGATATGACTCGGGTTTTATACCATGCATCATTGGTAAAACCTGAGTCCTATAACTTGAGGCGCGTGCCGCCACTTCATAAAGTGGCGCGCGGCACGCGCAGCTCCGACTAGCCGGTCCATGCAATTATGGGGATCACGCGTACCGTCGCCCTTAGCTTAGAACTGCATGCCAGACGGGTCGGTGGGCCCGCGCCCGGTAGACTCCGGGATCGGATGCCGGCTGCAATGATGTATACACTCCAGAGTCTGACTGTCTAAGCGGCGGCTTCAACGAGTCAAAGTTACAGATATCATTGTGACCAAACGTACGTGAGTCCCATCGCGGTCCGATATCATGACCCGTGACCTGCATGCATGCATGAGCTAGATGTGCACTGGCAGCTAGCGGCACTTTATACGCTAGATTGAGAGCCAGGATTATATGTGTGACCGTCTTACGCGGAAGATTTACGTGTTTAGCGGGCCTAGTAGAGAATCAGGGTGTTTGCCCTAATTTGGTTCCAATCATATTAGGTATAAGCAAACAATCACTGCTGCTGCCAGTGGGAGACTGGATGATGTTTATGTACAAATAATCTTGACTGATTGCGCTAAAAGCGTACGCCGGGTCCTGGAGTCCTATGCTTCGAGTCAACAACTTATAACGTGCATCATAAATACACTAGCTACTTGAGGTCGAATGCTAGATTGGAAGATTACCTCAAACGATCATGAGGTTTATAGGGTTGTAGTAGACTGCACTTCCAATAGGACTCCTATTCAACGGTTAACTTTGCTTCACGTTAGTGTTATCGTCAAGCGACACGTGACTGCCACTGCAACCTCTCAGACCCATTGCCCAAACGGGCGTACATTATGGGCAACATTAGTTGACATTTGCATTTCCTAGACGGAGACTCACGGTGCCCGAAAAACATCAACCCTGGCTCAATTCTTGCTAAGACACAACCGTCCTAAAATCTAGTTGCCACCTGAAAGACCGTTATCACCCAAGACCAGATCAAGCTGGTCCATAACCAAACCAGTTCGCCCGTAACCACCATCCTCCAGATAGAAATCCCAATGGGCGCCGCCGCCACTGCCGCCAGGGCAGTCCACGTGACCACTATCCCAATCCCGCAGTTCCAAACCCGAAACCCCAAACCCTGCTTCTCCACGAGGAGAGCAGTCGGACCCGGGCTTTCCGTTTTGGGGTCCGCGGCGGTCGTTCCGGTCACAAAGTTCGCAATTGCCCTCCAGTTGATGTCTTGCACCCCCGCCCCATGCCCCCCCACAATATATTTGACCTGGTAAGAGCTGCCGTCGGGGAAAGCTGGATTGCCCCCCGGTTCATCTTTGGGGTGGAGAGCGCTCTCCCCTGCCTCCAGCAAGCGGTCGGTTAGGTCCGAAAACCCGTCGGAGCCCCCACCTCCCAGGCCCAGCCCGAAGCAGCCGCACAGGCGCTCGAAGGCCTTGGGAAAGGTGGCAACGATCCAATCCGCCGTAGCCACGTAGTTCAGAACACAGCCCACCTGCGGTGATTCGGGGGAAGGTATTCGGGGGAAGGTAGACATTGTCATCGTCTGCAGATACGGTCATCTTTTTCCCTGTTTCGACCTCGCCAGCTTTATGCCGTGTAGCGTCTGCGCCGAGGGGTATGCCAAGAAGCAGGGGAGATGCTTGAAGCAGCTTGCGCTAATCCACAAACCTGAATTTTCAAACGAGACCCTTCGGAGGTTTGGTGGAACCCTTCGGAGGTTTGATTCTGCCAAATTCGGAGTTAGAGACGTTAGACCGTGTGGCTGCTGGCACATGGAACAGGATGCAAACCAAACCCATTTACCTGCGGTTTCTGGTGCCCGGGTTGGGTTTCCAGGACTTTCTCCCAGGGGTACGTCGTCTCCACGACCGACCCCGCAAATACAACGCGCTCGAACTCGCAGCAGTCATACTCCGCGAGCGCGCGCGCCGCGATGTAGGTCGCGTTGCTATGCCCCACAAAATGAAAGTCTGCGTGCGGAAACTCCGCGCGTGCCGTCACGTATTCGTCCATGAACCACTCGACCTTGGTTTGCCGGTCCCACGCCAACAGGAACGGGAGCGCACCGAAATAGCCGTAGGCGGTGCCCATTGCCCGGAAGTGCCACTTTTGGTCCAACTCCTCACTAGTACTCTTGTTTTTTTCGGCGTCCCAAACCGACTTTTGGATGGAACGCGCCAGCTTGCTTGTCCAGAACCCGTAGTCCCGGATTCCGTGCAACACGAAAACGACGTGCTTTCCTTTCTCCACGTTTTGCCGCAGCTTCGAGCGGTTGCTCAGCTCCTCCGTGCTCGCGATCAGCTTCGTCTCGTCGAGCGCGACCAACGTTTCGGGGGGTTCGAAAAGGGCGCTCAGCACTGCTTCCCGACGCACTTTGCCGAACTTTTTGTCGGCGTCCGAAACGTCCAAAACCGACTCGTGGTCGGACCCGAGGATCGTCCGGTAGACGAAACGGTCCTCAGAAGCGGGCCCGGGCCGCTCCGCATCCAAGACGAGCAAGTCAATATCGTCTTGGGGGGATGCCGCGTTATCGTTCGAGCCCGCTAGCTGGACCACGAAAGGGGGGGGGCGTGTAGGCTTCTCAGGACGGGGGGGGCGGGGAGAGTCCGGGGAACCACGGGTGCGTTTGACATCCGGCCGGGCCATTTCGAGCCATTTCAGGCGTGACTTGCAGATGTAGACGGAGCCGCGGCGGAAATGGGAGATGAAGAAGACGGGCCGGCGCGCAAGCGTCTCGATTAACCTGCGGGGAGGGGGAACGAAGTCAGGGTCATCAAGAGAGATCCCGATTTGCCTATAGATTAGGCTGCACAAATGAGCTCAGTCTACGAGCATCCTACAGCGAGGGCAAGGGGGATCGCGGGTTTCAAATCTGCCTGAGGAATCCAGCGGGGCTTTTCTAAGGCACCGGTCACCTTGTCGAACGTTGACAGATTGGACGAGTCATATTGCTTTTGCTGTGCTTCGGAGCAAAGCGCAGCTCAGAGACCCAGTCCCCGAATCAGAAAAGTTAAGGGCCAAAGTGCATGCTTAATTTGGCTTCGCAGGCTGAGGATCGGACGACACAGATGACTTTTGGTTCTTGATTCTATAAAGCTTGCGGGCCATCTGAGGAAAGAGAAAAAGACGAAGTTTGCTGCTCTGAAGTTCCTGCACAATTGCCGTACATCTGCCAATCAGCGGGTACATTTCAGGGTAGACTCCTCTTTTGATCCACAGGAACGGTAGATGCAGACGGCAATGGTAAAGGATGCTGCCTGATTATTATGATGAACACTGACATGCAAGTGCAATTAGTGGCCCGCAGTTAAACTGTCTGCCGCTGTGGACGTAACAGCCCTGGCGAACGCAGGCAGAGCACAAGCAACACGGTGCTGAGCTTGGCTGCCTCTCTTTTGCTCTGGATCAGATGAGGGAACCCCTCATCCGAACCTCTTTCAAGAAAGATGATTGGGAAATGTGGGAACCAGTTTGTCACTAGTCCCTCTTGTCAGCTCAGAGGGCATGGCCTGACTATACCAACAGCTGAGATTTGACAGGAAAGGGAGGCCAGAATTTCATAAAAGGGATTCTACGGTCTGACCAGGCTCGGCAAGTGTCATTCTATGTGTCCCGATGACGACCACATGCATGATGTCAGCCGCGAAGTGTGAGGACAGCTCACCCAACGAGAATCCTGGTGTAAGGCAGGAGCCTGCGGAAAACACAGCGAATGTATTTGATTTATGTGCACTTCTTAAGTCACAGTCTTTCGCAGTTACAGCTACACAACGCAATACATCATTAATACCAAACACTGCAACCAGGCAGAGGCTTGGCTTCTTCCGACATTGATCTTGGAATCTAGTAACAACTCATCATGGCACGTCGTTGGCTGGCCTTTCCTAAGGCAATCGGTCCTGAGAGTATGGCCTTCCTTGTTAGAGTCTCAAACTCATCAAGCACGGCTCACAGCACGTCAAAGCTATGCAGAGGCGTGCTGTCGGGCTCAAAGGCCCTGCCTTTGAGCCCTCCCGTTGAGCTCAAGTTTCAGACAGACTGCAGAAAGCGTTTCATGCTAAGAGCTCAAGATGCATTGCTCCAACACACACAGACAACGTGCGCGCAACGGAGGTTCTGGTAAAACATCTATCACAAGCTTAGCTTAGAACTTACCCCGCCAAGATAGCGTTCAAAACCAGATTGGATGACAGACTCCGCACGCCGTTGCCAAATGCAAAGCCCCTGTTTGTGCCGGACAACAGCACCAGCCGGACGTCCAGCGGCGGGCGCGCGGCAGAGTCCGAATGTGGCGCCCCATTGGCCGCGAGTTCGGACTTCTCGCCGCAGAATGTCCGTGCCCGACTGGACCCATCATCGTCGTGCAACTTCAGGTACAAGTTCCGGACCAGAACTGCGCCGATCGAATGGCCAACCAGCACAAGTTTGGTGTATTCGCCCTTGTCGACAGCCTTGACGACCTCTCGGTGCATTGCCTCCAGTATGGTGTCGGGATGGGTCACAGAGAAGACGCCACACGGGCCGAACCAATTGGTGCCCAGGATTGAGTCTAGTGGGGTGGCTGGCAGGCCCGGAACCAGGATGTCGACATCAACATGAGCGCTCCCTTGCTGACCGCCTGACGAACGTGTCTGTCCCTTATCCTCCTCGATTGCTCTTATGATCGGGTCAAGAGTCTGACGCGTGTGGCTGTAGCCGTACATCAGAACAACTAGAATGTGCTCTTGGCGAGGTTCTTTTTGACGCCATACGGTTTGCTTGAGCACTCGGGTGCGGTCAGCGCCCCAGCGCAGGCGGCCGCAGGAAAGGACGACGAGCACCCAGCGCAGGAGAGCAAGGAGAAGGACGAGCGCCAACCCGAGAGGAAAGACCCCAAGCATGATGGCGCACCATAGGAGGGGCGGCCACTCGATGTCGCCAAAGCTTTGGGAAGCCATTGCAGGGCCTCAGCAATTACGGAGCGCTGCGTCTCAAACACAGCACTTTAAGCTGCTCTTTCTGAGAACTGCAGGTTTAAGGACTTTGTGGACTGTTACAAATCTTTCCACAGGCCCTGATGTCATTGCCCTTTAAATGCAGCTCCCCTATACCTCCAATCGGACTCGCAAGTAATCAGATGGAAGGCGGGCAGCCGTGCAGCTGCCAACATTGACTTGCTGCTGTGTGTAGTTACTTGCAGAGAAGATACTAGCTAGTGGCATGGGGATTCTTTCATGAAGCTTGCCGCTAGTGCTGCTTGAAGGTAATGTCCACAGTGATCAGTAATGAATAGCCTACTGATGCTGGTCGTCCAACATCAGTTGTCCCTTCATTGTCAGCTCTAGACGAGCAAATCTCTCGTCTCCAAGATTCTGACTCTTGACTCTTTGAGTCTTGAGTCTTGTTCTCCACGCAGTCATTTGGAAACGGTCATTCCGAAACCACGGCTGCATTATGCAAAATACAGTACGGTACTTACTACCTGGCTAACCAGCCTGTTTTACTGTTTCTGTGTCAGATACTTGTGTGACAAATTTACTGCTTCTTTTGACACCTTCTATGCTGTGCCGCCCGGTACGAGTTTAGGCGGGCCGCCGGCCCGCCGCCGCCCGGCGCGCCCGCGGCCTCGGAAGCGCGACGGCGCACTGAGCCCGCTAGCTGCTGCACCGCCAAAGCAGGCTTGCATGACAGGCTGAAGCAGCATGCAGGCTTCAAGTTCAAGTACCTAAAGTTCAGGTTTCAGAACTTGATGTCAGAGTGATAGGAATACCGTAGAGGAGGAGTAAGCATGATGGCGCCTTTTTCCTGGCTCTCTCGCCTGTCTGGTACGATCGCTAGGGTTCTGTTTCCTGATCTCGGCCGGTTGGCGGCGCTGGGGCCAGGATGTTCCACTTATCCCTCACTCGGCGCCAAGGTAGCTGGGTTCTGCGCAGATGCGGGGCGTCGAGGCAGGGACACCACATTTCCAGGCTGCATTGCCTCCACTACAAGTTTGGCTGCGGAACACGTTTCCTGGCAAAGCTCTACTTATGTCTCTTGAAAAGCCGAGAGGTCAAGAAGCTTGGACTTGGTTCCAATTATTTTCACTCAGATAGCAGCAGAAGGGCCCTCGAAAGCGCAGGAAGAGGGGGCCCGCTTGAAGACAAGAAAGCTCTGGCAGAAGACGAAAGCCTGTTATCTGAGGAGGCACTTATGTCAAAAGCTGCTGACCCAAAAGAAGTGGGACGATTAGAAGGAGGCAATTTGCCAATATTGGCAGCTGGATTGAAGATGGGGCCCTCTAGAGAAGTTGGTTCCAAAAGATGCACACATTGTGGGGACACAAAACTGCGTGTGGACTTTTCGAGGTCAAATATTGGTCCGGACGGGCTGATGGATTGGTGTAGGGCGTGCATGGCCGTCTTTCATGCAGAGCGCGTTGGGAGATTGCTCCCTGAGCACATGCAATTGTCGTTGGAGGAGGCCCAAAAGAGGGCCAAGACTTGTAGAAAGTGTGGTGTTTTGAAGGAGATTCGACTATTTGGCTCTGAACAAGCGCGTAAGGATGGCACACAAACGTGGTGCAGAGCTTGCGTTTCGGACTACGACACAACCCGTCCTTCCTATGAACCTGCCAGCGGTCCCCACCTGTGCAAGGTCTGCAACAACTACCTGCCTTTGGAAGCGTTTCCTCGTAGTTGCCACAAACCAAACGGTCTCCACCGCACTTGCAAGCTTTGCATGAAAGAGCAAGGGAAAGACCGAGCAAGATATTCAAAGGTTAAAGCATCTCAACTAGATGTAAAAAGAGATACAAAATGGTGCCGGAACTGCAAGGTTGTGAAAGGAAAAAATGACTTTGACAGAGACCCAAAGAAGGCAGACGGTTTAGCGTGTAGGTGCAAGCTATGCAACAGAGATCTGGTCCGAAATCGGGGAGAGCGCAATAAAACCAGTTAGAGTGGGGGCCGCCAACCTGGCTAGATACATAAGATTGATGATCGGACCAGGGACGTGACGGTGGGGCAACAACTAACGGATTAACTTGCGGAACATTCTTTGAGTAGGTCGTCATCTTACACCGTCAAAACGACAGAGGACAAGACGCGGAGCGGTCAAGACCGCTGCGACGGCGACGCTCGACCGGTAGGTCCTCTGACGCCATTCTCCGGCTTTTGCCCTTTTAGGGTGCAGTTTGTTTGCCCGGAGTTTGTACATTTCAGTTGCAAAGGCTAAGATTTTTTGAGCAGCCGAAGCACCTCCAATGGTCCACCAAATTGGCTGTCAGCTCTCCATGCTACCGTTGGCAGGCATATAGGAGGGCATGTCAGAAGGGGACGTTGAATCATACAGAATTAACTACGTTTTGAAGAAGTGTTGCGCCAGAAATGCAAACAATGTTCATGATGTCCAAAAAAGCTTATATGGGATGATTTTGTCAGCAAAGGAGGCTGTTTGAGGGGACATCCAGGCGGACGTCCGGGGGACGTCCAGGTCTGAGTGGCGTTTTTGCGGACCCGAAGAGGCTCCAGCTGCTTGACAGTCTAGACGTTTCTGACCAGTTTCGAGGGGGCCGAACGTGTCTGAACTCAGGGTTTCTGCCGCATATATGGCTGGCCTGTCGCTCGAAGCTAGGCTGTTGTTGGGGAACCACGTAAAACTGTGGCAATTTGCTACACCTGTAGAATGGACCCATGTATCTTTCGTGCCCAGCTTTCAGCTTAGAACTTGTGATCCGCTTCGCTGGTTTGTGTTCGAGTACGGTTCCTTGCCCGGGCAGTTCAACTTTTTGCAGATTCTTCGAAGTACCTTACTACAATTTGCACTTCCAGGTTGCTGGCACTGCTTCTCACCAAGAGCGGATCGAAGGGAATAACGGTCCGAGCTTCGCATTTTCTGTAAATGCGCATGGACAACAAGCTCGTCTCAGGTTCCTTTCCAATCTCAAGAAATGAATTTGCGGCAGTAGACTTGATTGGACGTGAGATTCTTTCGTTTGTCACCCGCCCATTGAATGTTCAATAGCTATCGGAAGGCCCATGTCGTTCTAGATTACAATGAAAAATGAACGACTTCAGCATATATCGTCATAAATTAACGCGTTTGCTTGAGCTTGACCCGTGACTTTGAAAATTAAGTATCATCCGCCTTGATCGGATGGGGTCGGCCAGCAGTATGGCCGGAGTAGGCACACACAAGCGGCATGCATGGCGGCAATATAGTATCTCGTGGAAGCTGTTGCGCCCGTCTCAGTAGCGGCGCAGCTCCAATCCTTTAATTGAAACCACGACCAAAGCCTGGAGTCATGAAGCATACATTGCAGGCCGGCCCTCAATAACTCGTGGTCGATCGATCGAGCCCTAGCTTACCGTCGTAGGTGACTGGCCACGATCTAGATATGCGCGGCTAGGTTCACCGTGCTATTGTTTGTCTAGTGTGAATGCAATTATTCCGTTGCGAGGGACCGTTCGAAATGCCCCCACGTACATGCGTATCCGACTTTGTCTCACGAGATACAAGTTCCGTGCATATAGTCTTTCATCGTCGCTCGTGACAATCATTGAATGATAAGCAATTACAGCCGCGGTCTTGATCTACGTATATACCATCCGACTATGTTGCCGCGCAACTTAGGTCTCACTTATAATCAGAAGAGGGCCGGAACATATACATGCTTCGAGTTTAACTAAAGCATATGAGCGAGACTGATGAATGATTCCCAACCGAACCATGCTTCGCTTTCTATACTTACTAAGTTCTGAGACTTTTTACAACAGGTCATAGGGGCTTTGGAAGCGTGCATGCTGAAAAGAGTGACAAGCTTTATGTCCCTCGCTAACAGAATTCTCAATAAGTCGACTGATTATTCTTCCGCCTCACTATCAGTGTATCTGCGCGCCACAACCTTGAAAACCATAGCACCGGTTGGCCCTAAGAACTTTTCCGATTTTCTTGCTTCGTCCCAAGGCAAGTTCAGAGCATCCGGAAAGCCCCAGTTTTTTACTCCTTTGCCTTCCTCTAGGCTGAAGGTATTAGTGGTGGTACCAATGGGGAACCACAAGCCGTCCGGCCATGTCCGGACGTAAGCGCAGATTTGAACTTTGTCCGACACGCTCGCCACCGTTTCCTGGTCGCCCGCCTTTTTGCAGAACAAGTACACGCCAACGGTTCGCGGCCGCTCCTCCTCGCCCCCCTTCTTCTGAGCACCCTCTTTCATAACCGCGAGATACCATGTTTTGCCGAACCAAACCACGGGCGGCGTGACTACCGACGTGACCTTCTCATCGAACCGTATGTTCTCGACGATCTCGAGGTGAACTTGCTGAACGCCTTTCCTTTCGCAGAACACCAGGCCTTTCTCGAGCCGTTTCCTAGCGTCCGAATACGCCTGAACCTTCAGCGCTCTCTTTATCAGCTGGACGTTGGGAAACGACCGAGCAGTTTGAGCCCACTTCTCGAGAACCTCCCCCCGGATGCAGCAGAATCGAATATACGGGAAAAGCTGTGATAACGCCCCCGTTTTGTTCGCAGCCCACTTAGCCGCTTTGGTCAGGATTTCCTCCTCCGAGTCTGCCTCCAACTCTTCCGACTGCAGCAGATACTGAACCACACCCAAAGGCAATGCCATGAAATCATCCGACGTCCACGTACCCGTCACGTCCTTAAACTCCCTTACGATGTGACCACGTGCGTCGTCCATCAGCTGCTTGATCTGCGGCCGCCTTTCCAGCAGATCCGGCACTTCCTCGACAAGGGTCGCGCTGTCCGAAATCGACTCTCGTTCGATCAACCGTTTCAGGACGGCGCCCATGAAGGAAGGGACTTCGTACTTGTCGCCCAGGAGGAGGAGCGCCACGATGGAGCTCATACTAGTTGCTGGCGCCAGAAATTCCGGGGAGAGGGTGCCGGAGTAGAGGAACTGGAGCATCTCCTTGAACGCCGGTTTTTCTGCAAGGTGAAGGCTTCAACGATTCAGCATTTTGGGAAGGCAATACTCCTTAGCTAGATCATTCCCTTCGGTTTCAAAAGGTCCAACTTTCCTTGGCCAGATTGTCGCAAGCTTTGGGCTTCACGGAAGTCAAAGCTCTGAGGTCTGAGGATTCAAAACGTCTTAGCATGGTAAGCATCCCGCCCAGATGATTCACAGTTCCTTAAGCGTGATTTTTTAGGCGCCCACGTGCTGCATGTTGATCTGCTGGGTGAAGTCAGAAGAATTGAGGCTGAACAAACCAATGGGTACAATTAGTCAACTATAAAGTGCTCATGAATGGTCGGAAGCCTCTCACTCAATATCAAAGATAGTACTGCTTGTGATTGCTGCTGCACATGACAAGTTCTAAGTGCTCTCGACCCGCAAGCTTTTAACAGAATAGCTCAAGGACGGTTTGTTATGAAGACTGCGCTCTTGGCTTGGACAGGTTGAGAAGAAGAATATCTAAAAGTTCCCCAGAGAATCTTCTCTTCTGAAGGTCTCTCAAGAGGTATAGTATTTCGGAATTAAAGCACAGAAAGAAGGCATAATTGCTGGAACCAATGCGGGTAAAAGCGGAACAGAGGAAAGGTTCGAGAGAAAGGCAGAGCTCCCAAAAAGAAGCCATCGCTTTTGCTTTCACATGCTTCTACGAGCATACTCGTTGGTCAGTTGACAGGTTTGAACCAGATTCTGAACAGACTTTGTTGAAATGTAGGGCTTCAAAGGCCACAGCAACTAACCCTGGAGCGACTCTCTCCTGTTCGCACCAAAAGGACAGGGAAACGGTTTGAAATCTGTCCAGTAGTCATTGCTCAACCAAAGTGTTATCTACACTTGATAAGTCATGAGACACAGGTGGGTGGCGTCTAACCTTGCTCTGTAACCCTGATGACGATGGGTGCACCCTTAGCTGACTCCTTCATCCCGTTGGACAGCATGGCCCGGAGCACAGCGCTCTTGGCAGCAACAACAATCGAGTTCACCGGGACCTCCTCGCCCTCTGCTTCCTTCTCCTTTGCTCGAATGCCCTTTTTGGAGGGGCGCAGGGCTGGACCGCCTGGAGAAGCAAACGGAGGTCGAGTCAGTCCTTTACGCACCCCTGTACTATTTTGCCTTCATGTCTGCGCTCCCAATGCATTGGGACTCCTTATATCAGCGGGAGGGGCCTGAGCAGAAGGCGGCAACGTGGCGCTCATCTTCACCGCCAGTCCCACCAGAACCCCATTTCATCTGCACAAGAACAAGCCAATTTGGTGCATCAACTGATGCGCAGGGATGTACAGAAATAAAGTTTGTTGCGGCTTACCCGTTTTGCTCTCATATCCAGGATGACGAGTTTGAATGCCCGATCACAGAACTCGGGCTTCCTGCAAAGCATCAGGGGCAAGTGAGACTCCTTGCCACAGACCTTTTAGAGTGAGAAGCAGCTACGCACCTTTATCCGTCGCGAGTGAAAATCTGAAGCCACATATTAGAAACCTAGCTTTGCCCAGCACCTATGGCTGTTCGTGTCATGGTTGTGGAAACAATGAGTTGTTAGAGTGTGAGCCTTTTGGCAAAGATGACCAGGCTGTTATGCAATGAGCTGAGGGAGCGAGGATCACGCGCCGTCCAACTGTGTTGGTCCAAGCTACACATATCTCTTGCTTTTATGCCCAACTCACCATGCCATCCCCACACATATCCATTCTTGGATTCTGATCACGAAGCTCATTTCCCTGCATCTTAGTCAAGGCTCACTAACTTTGATTTCAACAACTTCCACAGGGCTTCAGTTTCTAGAGAACTTCATGAACCACAGCAGAACTGTGCTTAGAGGCGCTCACTTGTAGAATGTGCCAAAGTCAAAGTAGTGGCTCTCCTCGTCCAGATCGTTCGCCGGGGCTGCTGCCGGGGCCGCCGGCGCAGGCTCCGCCGTGGTCTCGGCCATCTCTTGCAACGTGGCTTGAGCAATGAAGCCCTTCTGGTGACAATCAAGCAGCTAGACCCACTGTCCCTGTAATTGTAAGGGAGTCCAACCCCTGTTTAGAGGGCCACTAGAATGCAGAGTCAGCTATTGGCATGTCTGCAAAGCAGCCCTGGGCACTGACCGCGGATGCAAGCTAGGATATGAAATGTAAATGCTGCCCGCTCGCAAGTTGCTCTTCAGTCCTCTTTCAGCAGCATCTGGGACCCACGAGGACGTTGAGTCTAACGCTGCGTTTACAGGATATCCAAGCTTGTCAACGGGTTGAGATCCTACGGCTGATCAGCTGCACCTTTTAGAACTCTTCAGCTCCGGGTTGGAGAGCCTCGCCTACAGGCGCCCACCACAGCTGTCGCGCTGCCAGCTCTTCAAGTTCTAGCTTGCTCAACACCGGTCTACAGATTGCAATGCGTCGCGGGCATTGCTAGACTGCCCAGGCCCAGGCCCAGGGCTAGAGAGTAGAGATCATTGCCTTGGATTTCAAATTTCAGATGGACCGCCACGGTAATGATACAACATAGGTCAATCAATCAATCAATTTATTTTATA